TACAACGTCGGGGTGTTAGGGGGGTCTAGTCGTTAAGCGTTCGCTCGTTACGCCGAAGACCCGGATTCGATTTCCCTCATGGGTATGTGATGTGTGAAGCCCATTTCTTGTGTTCCCTACTTGACATTACAGGAATGGTGCCAAAGCGGCGTAAAATCGTACTCATTCACACTACAATACTTCTTTATTTCGTGAAGCGGCGGTGGGTTAGCCTAGTAGTTAAAGCGTTCGCTCGTCACGCCGAAGGCCTGGGTTCGATTCCCCACAGGGGCTAAATGTGTGAAGCCTATTTTTGGTGTCCCCGCCGTGATGTTGCTGGAATATTGCTAAACGAGGCTTAAAACCCAATTCACTCACTCACTCATTATTTCCTGAAAATATGCTATTTCTTGATAAAACAATTACTGGTCGGTCAGTATATTAATGTTAAACTGTGGATTGGTATCTCAGATGTCTAGCACTATAGCTTCAGCCCGGAATGGACAGACACGCACGAACACGCTCACGCACACACACACACACACATGCTCGTCACTACATTAGTGCAATAATCTTCAATGCGATGTGAATCCCCATTTCATCTCGTCCCATCTCCTCTGTTACCTGGGGCGGTGGGGTAGTCTAGTTGTTAAGGCGTTGGCTCGTCACGCCAAAGACCCGGGTTCGAATCCCCACATGGGTAGAATGAGTGAAGCCCATTTCTGGTGTCCCTTGCAGTGATGTTGCTGGAATATTGCTAAAAGCGGCGTAAAACCAAACTCAGTCAGTCAGTCAGTCCTCTGTTACCTTGGATATCGTACTTTCATAAGTAGTTTGAGCGCTTATATCCCCGTAACATTGATTCCATTTGATAAATAACTCCAGCACTGCATGTACCTGGTGTAAAGTTGGCACAACAACATCACTACTTGAGGCGGTACCAAGCACAGAGATGTATTTCATACACAAATAGTGGATGTCTGCATGTAGGGTGTCGCAAAACAGCTATATAATTTTATATTTAAAAATCAGTGGTAGTTATCTTCAAAACGAATATAAACGCAAACGGAAAAACGAATTTCGTTAAACATGTACAGTGAATGAGTGAGTTTAGTTTTATTGCCGCTTTTAGCATTATTTCAGCAATATCACGGCGGGGGACACCAGAAATGGGCTTCACACACCATGTGGGGAATTAAACCTGGGTCTGCGACGTGGGGGGCGAACGCTTTAACCACTGGTCTTCCCAACCGCCCTGTACTGTTATAACAGGATACGCTTACATCAATGACGATTATATTTGTATATAGTAAGCGGTGTTTTACTCTTTAAATGTAGGTTTGTATCTTATCCGATGTTTCTTGGTTAGATAGAGCGATGAGCGAGTCCTGTTCAGACAAACTAGTGGTCGATATGATGAGCAACGTCTAAGGACGTCGGGGCTTGAGCATGCTGAGTCAACCAAGTCACCACGGCTAGTCATCGAATCGATTGATGACTTTAGGGGGATCTATTGTAACCCAAAATACCCGATGTGTGAATGTTGTTTTAAGCCGCAACCAGGCTATACATATCTCACGTGTAGACACAGGTGAGGGTGAAATTGGGTTTTACGTCGTGCTTGAGAATATTTAGCTCATATGACGACGTGCATGCGTGTGTATGTGTATGTGCGGCTGCTTGTACTAGCCCAGACTGAAGCTGGTTTTATAGTGCTAGCCCACTGAGATACCATGCCGCAGTGAAGCATGAATACCCCACTCAGACACATTATATTGACTCCGAGCCGACCAGTCCTTGTTGTACCCATTAATGCTGAGCACCAGGCAGGGACCAACAAGTACCATATTTTACCGTCTTTTGGTATGACGCGGTCTGGGATGGAACCCGCGACCTTCCGCTCGGACGCGGACGCTCTAACCACTACACCACGGAGGCGGTCTCGTAGACACAGAAGTATAATATTATAGGTGTATATGGTTATAGGTGAAACAGCACGGTGTTATATGTTATACCTGTTTACAATGACGAAGTATATGTCATTATACTCGCCCATGATACTCACTGAGAGAAACCGAGAAACGCGGTATAGCGAGTGCCACACTGGTGCGTGTTTTCTCAGTGACTCACAGGACACGAAATCCAGGTTTATGGGGTAAAAATTGGCAGCGAGTGTGCAAATAGCAACGATAAAACGATTAACATGTCATGAATGACGTTTTCATATACATGTTTATTACTAATTGGCAATTAAGTAGCACATACTTTGGGGCGATCGGATAGCCTAGTGGTTAAAGCTTTAGATCGTCACGTTGAAGTCCTTGGTTCGATTTCCCAGATTAACATGTCACGAGGGACGTTTTCACATGCATTTTTGTTACTAATCGGTAATTTCGTTTTCCAAGTTTTAGTTTAGTAGCATATACTTATGGGGAGATAGGGTAGCCCGTGGTTAAAACTTTCCATTGTCGCTGAAGACTCGGGTTCGATTCCCCACATGGGTAAAATGTGTAAAGCTCATTTCTGGTGTCCCCAATCCTGATATTGCAAGAATGTTGCTAAAAGCGGCGTAAAATCATACTCACTCACTATTCCCTTTTTATCAGTTAAGTTAAGCTAGACACAGCGTTCCAATATCCCACTGATCACTTATCCGTACTGTTGGGTTTCATTTTCTGGTATGGGGCGGTGGGGTAGCATAGCGGTTAAAGCGTTTGCTTGTCACGCCGAAGGTCCGGGTTCGATGAATTGCAATCTAACTTGAAAACTAATAAACATAACATACTCAATGAAACGCTGATCATAATCAAAACATCATACCCCCTCTGTGAGTTTTTTGCAGAATTTTTGTCCTAAAATTAAAAAAGTTATTTAACAAACTATCATTAAAATATTGACACAGTTCACTGTTTGTTACGAGGGAGGAGTGCAGAGAAAGGGACAGCCAGGTGTTCGAGGAGCACGTTCACAGACAAAGTTATTTATTCATTAACCTGTGCTGTGCCGTCTCCATCCGTTCTCGAACACCTGGCTGTCCCTTTTTCTGCACTCCTCCCTCGTAACAAATAGTGATGTTTTGATTATGATCAGCGTTTCATTGAGTATTTTATGTTTATTAGTTTTCGAGTTAGACTGCAATTCATCGGTCCGCTTTTGAGCCAAACGGACTATAGTGGCAAATTGTTTTCGTTGATACGGTTTGCTAGCATTGATTTTGTTGACACGGTTTGTCTTAGAAGAGTGTGAAAAGCGAAATATTCATACACCACTTTGCTGTTTATATCTCAAGTGGAGTAGACTCGTGATTAGAAGTCGTGATGACAAACCGTTGACCCTACTGCAATTACAGAAGTATATTCATGAAGACTCCCAAATTACAAAGAAACCAACAATTCTAAAAGAAATCAACATGTGAAATGTCCTTCAGGTATCAAATTACCAAAAACTGCTACAGAACGTAAATCTAGAAGTGCTTAACCGCCGCATAACTGTACATGGTTTACAGAGTTCAAGGAAACCTTTTGTAATGGCAAAGGATGCATTGGATTCATTGCAGAAGAAAGTTCCTGATACTGGGAATAGCATAGATGATAAAGAGGATGATGATTTTAGTGAAAAAGAAGGTGTAAATAAGATCGTTGACATTCTCCCAAACAATGTCTTGAGTATGGTTGATGACAAAACTCTGAAGGAGATGCTTGAAGCAGGAGCAGAGCTATGTAACCTTTGAAAAACAGAGTCCTCTTCTTATCTATGGCATCAGGTGGGGATGAACCTGAGGACCTTGTGACGCCAGATCGTCCCAATACCATATATAGAAGATCAGGATAGTGAATCTTCAAGGGTAGTGGTCTCTGATTCTTCTGGAAGCCAAAACAGCACACATGAAGGCAGAAGAGTAGATCAAACTGGTATTTTGCCACTCCGGAAGTATATTTGAATGAGAATTACAAGCCTAGAACAATACACAGTAGAATCATCTCGGTATCAGAGATCTGCAGTTTGAAGAGATATTCAGCCTGAGAAATTAAGCATGATATGAATGCAGCTTTGTTAATATAATATTAGCGAGAAAGACCCTTCGTCCGCATCACGGCTTCAAGACTGTGTTGTGTCAAAAGCTATTTGATGTGGTCAATAACAAAATTGAACCAACCACAAAAGCAAGAAAAGCTAATTCACCTCAATCATTGAAAGTGTTGTGCAAGAAGGTAGTGTCCAAAACACCACTCTGAACTTTATCTGGGCTCATGACATGTATGCTACCCGACATGCTGAATGGGATTCCACATCTCTCTGCAGAAATGATGTACAAGTTGGTGATTCAGATATTCCAAGGTTTTGATATTCAAAACCGGAATGTCGACAAGAAAGTACCGATCCACAGTTTTGTATACTTGATTGTCAGCTTGAATACCTACCTACGTTCAGGGCCAGTGAGGGGGAATATAAAGTATGTATCACTTGAATACCTAGCTGCGTTCAGGGTTGTGAGGGGAAAATATAAAGTATGTATCACTTGAATACCTACCTACGTTCAGGGTTGTGAGGGGGAACATAAAGTACGTATAACTTGAATACCTACCTACGTTCAGAGTTGTGAGGGGGAAATATAAAGTATGTATCACTTGAATACCTACCTACGTTCAGGGTTGTGAGGGGACGCTCTAACCACTACACCACGGAGGCGGTCCGGTTTATGTATTAAGATAAAGGGGTCAAAACCACCCCTAAACGGAACTCTAAGTAGTTTGGTAAATGTTGTTTTGAAAAAGAATAAAGTACTTGAGAAAACTGATTCTTAATAATGAATAGACCTTTCCTGGTGTTTTTACTCTTAAACTAGGATCTCTGTAGATATACATATAGTCGGGGTTCGAAGCCTATAGTGGGCACACATTTCTGAACGCGCTGTAGTATTTACTACCTGTGCTATTACTGGGGAGATGAACTCGTCATTTTAAATCGTATACATACATTACACAATCAATGGTTAAATGCGATGCCTTAATTTGTTTCAGTATCTGGAGTTCAGGTTTGGTCAAGTGGCCAGATTGGCCGGAGCCATGACGTATATTGTACAAATGGTAAGTGTGGATATTTAATTAGCATTCTGGTTGCCACTAACGACAGACACAGAGATGTGTTGTGAGAAGTAACAAGTGTGTATGTGCAGCTGAAACATTTCAACCCTAACACGAAACCGCCATAAAACATACACTACGTCTCTTCATAATCTTTATGGATCGAGATTTATGTATTTTACATTTTCCTTTCAACGGCTATTTTATTTTCCTCGACTAACGGTATACATCTAACTATACATCACATGAAATAAATGTTTCCGCTATCCTATTTCACATTCACTAATCAGTATTTCATCTGCGACTTTTCCAGACAATCTACATGGCCTGCGTGCTGTACGCCCCCTCACTGGCCTTGAACGCAGGTAGGTATTCAAGTGATACATACTTTATATTCCCCCTCACTGGCCCTGAACGCAGGTAGGTATTCAAGTGATACATACTTTATATTCCCCCACATAACCCTGAACGTAGGTAGGTATTCAAGTGATACATACTTTATGTTCCCCCTCACAACCCTGAACGCAGGTAGGTATTCAAGCGATACATACTTTATGTTCCCCCTCACAACCCTGAACGTAGGTAGGTATTCAAGTGATACATACTTTATATTTCCCCCTCACAACTCTGAACGTAGGTAGGTATTCAAGTTATACGTACTTTATGTTCCCCCTCACAACCCTGAACGTAGGTAGGTATTCAAGTGATACATACTTTATATTTTCCCCTCACAACCCTGAACGCAGCTAGGTATTCAAGTGATACATACTTTATATTCCCCCTCACTGGCCCTGAACGTAGGTAGGTATTCAAGTGATACATACTTTATATTCCCCCTCACAATCCCGAACGGAGGTAGGTATTCAAGTGATACATACTTTATATTTCCCCCTCACAACCCTGAACACAGGTAGGTATTCAAGTGATACATACTTTATATTCCCCTTCACAACCCTGAACGTAGTTAGGTATTCAAGTGATACATACTTTATATTCCCCTCACAACCCTGAACGCAGGTAGGTATTCAAGTGATACATACTTTATATTCCCCTTCACAACCCTGAACGTAGGTAGGTATTCAAGTGATACATACTTTATATTCCCCTTCACAACCCTGAACGTAGGTAGGTATTCAAGTGATACATACTTTATATTCCCCCTGATAACCCTGAACGTAGGTAGGTATTCAAGTGATACATACTTTATGTTCCCCTTCACAACCCTGAACGTAGGTAGGTATTCAAGTGATACATACTTTATATTTCCCCTTCAGAACCCTGAACGTAGTTAGGTATTCAAGTTATACGTACTTTATGTTCCCCTTCACAACCCTGAACGTAGGTAGGTATTCAAGTGATACATACTTTATATTCCCCCTCACAACCCTGAACGCAGGTAGGTATTCAAGTGATACATACTTTATATTCCCCTTCACAACCCTGAATGGAGGTAGGTATTCAAGTGATCCATACTTTATATTCCCCTTCACAACCCTGAACGTAGGTAGGTATTCAAGTGATACATACTTCATATTCCCCTTCACAACCCTGAACGTAGGTAGGTATTCAAGTGATACATACTTTATATTCCCCCTGATAACCCTGAACGTAGGTAGGTATTCAAGTGATACATACTTTATGTTCCCCTTCACAACCCTGAACGTAGGTAGGTATTCAAGTGATACATACTTTATATTTCCCCTCAGAACCCTGAACGTAGGTAGGTATTCAAGTGATACATACTTTATATTCCCCCTCACAACCCTGAACGTAGGTAGGTATTCAAGTGATACATACTTTATATTCCCCCTCACAACCCTGAACGCAGCTAGGTATTCAAGTGATACATACTTTTTATTCCCCCTCACTGGCCCTGAACGTAGGTAGGTATTCAAGTGATACATACTTTATATTCCCCCTCACAACCCTGAACGCAGGTAGGTATTCAAGTGATACATACTTTATATTCCCCTCACAACCCTGAACGTAGGTAGGTATTCAAGTGATACATACTTTATATTCCCCTTCACAACCCTGAAAGTAGGTAGGTATTGAAGTGATACATACTTTATATTCCCCCTCACAACCCTGAACGCAGGTAGGTATTCAAGTGATACATACTTTATATTCCCCTTCACAACCCTGAACGTAGGTAGGTATTCAAGTGATACATACTTTATAATTCCCTTCACAACCCTGAACGTAGGTAGGTATTGAAGTGATACATACTTTATATTCCCCCTCATAACCATGAACGCAGGTAGGTATTCAAGTGATACATACTTATATTTCCCTTCACAACCCTGAACGCAGGTAGGTATTCAAGTGATACATACTTTATATTCCCCCTCACAACCCTGAACGGAGGTAGGTATTCAAGTGATCCATACTTTATAATTCCCTTCACAACCCTGAACGTAGGTAGGTATTGAAGTGATACATACTTTATATTCCCCTTCACAACCCTGAACGGAGGTAGGTATTCAAGTGATACATACTTTATATTCCCCTTCACAACCCTGAACGTAGGTAGGTATTCAAGTGATACATACTTCATATTCCCCTTCACAACCCTGAACGTAGGTAGGTATTCAAGTGATACATACTTTATATTCCCCCTCACTGGCCCTGAACGTAGGTAGGTATTCAAGTGATACATACTTTATATTCCCCTTCACAACCCTGAACGTAGGTAGGTATTCAAGTGATACATACTTTATATTCCCCCTCACAACCCTGAACGTAGGTGGGTATTCATGTGATACATACTTTATTTCCCCCCTCACAACCCTGAACGAAGGTAGGTATTCATGTGATACATTCTTTTTATACCCCTGACCAACCCTGAACGTAAGTAGATATTCAAGTGATACAAACATTTTATTCCCCCTTACAGCCCTGAACGTAGGTAGGTATTCAAGTGATACATACTTTATATTCCCTCTCACAATCCTGAACGCCGGTAGGTATTCATGTGATACATACTTTATATTCCCCCTCATAACCCTGAACGCAGGTAGGTATTCAAGTGATACATACCTTATATTCCCCCTCACAACCCTGAATGGAGGTAGGTATTCAAGTGATACATACTTTATGTTCCCCCTCACAACCCTGAACGGAGGTAGGTATTCAAGTGATGCATACCTTATATTCCCCCTCATAACCATGAACGCAGGTAGGTATTCAAGTGATACATACTTTATATTCCCCTTCACAACCCTGAACGTAGGTAGGTATTCAAGTGATACATACTTTATATTCCCCCTCACAACCCTGAACGTAGGTGGGTATTCATGTGATACATACTTTATTTCCCCCCTCACAACCCTGAACGAAGGTAGGTATTCATGTGATACATTCTTTTTATACCCCTGACCAACCCTGAACGTAAGTAGATATTCAAGTGATACAAACTTTTTATTCCCCCTTACAGCCCTGAACGTAGGTAGGTATTCAAGTGATACATACTTTATATTCCCTCTCACAATCCTGAACGCCGGTAGGTATTCATGTGATACATACTTTATATTCCCCTTCACAACCCTGAACGCAGGTAGGTATTCAAGTGATACATACCTTATATTCCCCCTCACAACCCTGAATAGAGGTAGGTATTCAAGTGATACATACTTTATGTTCCCCCTCACAACCCTGAACGGAGATAGGTATTCAAGTGATGCATACCTTATATTCCCCCTCATAACCATGAACGCAGGTAGGTATTCAAGTGATACATACTTATATTTCCCCCTCACAACCCTGAACGTAGGTAGGTATTCAAGTGATACATACTTTATATTCCCCTTCACAACCCTGAACGCAGGTAGGTATTCAAGTGATACATACTTATATTTCCCCCTCACAACCCTGAACGTAGGTAGGTATTCAAGTGATACATACTTTATATTCCCCTTCACAACCCTGAACGCAGCTAGGTATTCAAGTGATACATACTTTATTTTCCCCCTCACTGGCCCTGAACGCAGCTAGGTATTCAAGTGATACATACTTTTTATTCCCCTTCACAACCCTGAACGCAGGTAGGTATTCAAGTGATACATACTTTATATTCCCCCTCACAACCCTGAACGTAGGTAGGTATTCATGTGATACAAACTTTATTTTCCCCCTCACTGGCCCTGAACGCAGGTAGGTATTCAAGTGATACATACTTTATATTCCCCCTCATAACACCGAACGTAGGTAGGTATTCAAGTGATACATACTTTATATAACAACCCCCACCCCACCCCCATCCCCCACCCCCACAACCCTGAACGCTGGTAGGTACCCCTCACCACAGGAACGTATTCAAGGTTTAACCAATCTTTATGCCTCTCAGTAACCCTGAACACAGGTACGTATTCCAGGGTTAGCCAATCTTTATATCCAATCACCAACCCTGAATGCAAGTACGTATTCCATGGGATGTACATGTATATTCTTTTCCTGTATATTTGCAGTGACAGACTTCGATCTCTGGGGTTCGATCTGGGCTGTGGGGCTTGTCTGCACCTTCTACACGTCCATTGTAAGTACTGTGCCGAAGACCCGGGTTCTAGTCCCCACATGGTAACAGTGTGTGAATCCCATTCCTGTTGACCCCGCTGTGATATTGCTGGAACTAAGTGGAAGATTGCTAAAAGCGGCGTAAAACTAAACTCACTCACCCACTGTATCTGTAATTGACTTAGGTGTAAGTATTTAAAATCGTGGCATATTGTTGGCAAACGATTCTTGTTTGAGCATAAAGTAACTATATCTCGACCTAACTATAGAGTAATTGTCCAGGTCTTCCAAGGCACCGTAATTTGTTATGTGGAGTTCCCTCCCTTAGACGTGTCAGGATAATTGTGATCGTGGGTTCGAATCCACCAAGCGATCTCATCACTACGACAATTGTAAGTCTGTGTTATATTAGTGTATGATTGTTCTGGCAATCGTTGTCCTACAGCCTGTTTGCATGGAGCAGCCCCGTGCTCACCTTTCACAGAACATTCGTATTGTAGTTCAATACAAGAATTTGATCAAACAGTATGCACGAAAACAATTCCAGGAATATTAAATTAATCACATTGACTGTAAGCAATATAGCTGCAGTGGATCAGTTCCCCTTGACTAAAACTCATATACAACCAGGACTATAGCTATGTTATTGCAGCCGAAGAACTTGACGGTTCCCGAATGTACGAAACAAATAACACATAAACACCGACATCCCGATTGGCTGCTCACCAGTTGAAGAGAAAATGCAATGTTTTGGTATTAAGTCTACACACGTTTCTGTTTAAAAATCATATACTGAGGGAAAAAAATAAGGGATCACATGAAAGCACATGTGTTCCTTTATTTTTTCCCAAGGTTTCTTCACAAGTTTTGTATCGCACAGCTTGAAATAATCCGAATGTGATCATTGTGTAATTGTAACTGAAGTGTTCCATGTCGTCTCCAGGGTGGTATGAAGGCGGTGCTGTGGACGGACACGTTCCAGACGTTCATGATGATTATTGGTCTTCTAGCTGTGCTCATACAGGGTTCCATAGAGATTGGCGGCTTCGCCAGGGCCTGGGAGATCGCCTACAACAACTCCAGAGTGGAGTTCCTGGAGTAAGTTGGCCTGGAAGTAGGAGTACCATGAAACCGTGTTAGTTCGATGGGCGCTGTTCTGAGACTCCAGAGTCTGCTAAAGGTTAAAGTGACCTTAATAATAAGGTCAGATTTCTTTGCTTACACGGTTTACTCATCATCCGACTCCAAAGCAAAAGTAAATTGTAAAAATTAAAAACAATATATTGAATGCAGTTGTTATATTATTCCGAAAGAATGCAACATGTTATGAAACAGACCTGTATTTACTGTCGCAATCATTATGGAAATGCATGATCTAAAATACTATAAACCTGTGAAAAAATCTAAAAAAACGATTTATGCTGTCATCGTGTTTCTTTAGAACCTAGTTTCCCCCTACCCACATAACATTCTGTGAATATCAAACGATGTTTAGGTTGCAACTTAACGACCTGGATTTTGGGACAAAACTCCATATGGTCAACAAATGAAAAAGGTCTGGCCTTACCAATGATTTGTTTTTGATGTACTCAGAACAATCCGAAACCAGACTATCAGATATGACAAGATGCAACATAACACAAGTCGTTTAATGATAAACGTCGAAACCTTTGACCTCCAGATTCAGCCCTGACCCCAGCGTCCGGCACAGCGTCTGGTCCTTGGTCATCGGAGGCACCTTCCTGTGGACTTTTGTGTACGGTGTCAACCAAGCCCAGGTGCAGAGGGCAGTGGCCTGTCCTACCCTCAGGAAGGCGCAGCTGTAAGGGTCTATCTTTACCTATGTGTAATATGCAGGTAACGCCTGATGGCGGCTTACGTTCACGTGTATCTCATGTCGGTCAGTTCTTTCACCCGTGTGATCAGAGAGTCCATGTCTCCCGTGTGTTGAATGAGAGTCCTTGTTTCAACGTGTGGTGGTCGGCGTCAGCTGTTAATGGGTGTTCAGATGTGAAGGATGTAACATTCTAGAGCTTCGTTCGTATGATTCCCGGGGAGATGAGAATGGAAATCCTGTGAACACTGGTCTATTGGCCTGGTGTACTACTACTACTACTACTACTACTACTACTACTACTACTACTACTACTACTACTACTACTACTACTACTACTACTACTACTACTACTACTACTACTACTACTACTACTACTACTACTACTACTACCACCACCACCACTACCACCACCACTACTACCACCACCACGACTACTACTACTACTACTACTACTACTACTACCACCACCACTACTACTACCACCACCACATCCACGACTACTACTACTACTACTATTACTACTACTACTTCTACCACCACCACCAGCACCACCACTACTACTACCACCACCACCACCACGACTACTACTACTACTACTACTATTACTACTACCACCACTACTACCACCACCACCACCGACTACTACTACTACTACCACCACCACCACCACCACTACTACTACTACTACTACCACCACCACGACTACTACTACTACTACTACTACTACTACTACTACTACTACTACTACAACGTGTTCAGGCCATGTGTCATGTGTTTCTCTTGTCGCTTGTTCTGACAGTGCCTACTGGATCAACTGCCCGGGTCTCGCAATCATCCTCTACCTCACCGCTATGATCGGCATCGTCATCTACGGCTTCTACAGCAGGTGTGACCCACTCAGCCTCGGACTCATATCGGCCGGTGATCAGGTAACAACAACAACAACCATTACTCCACAAACATCGTCAGCCGAGGTTACCGCGTTTAAGGATGCCAGGGTTGATTAGACTCAAAATGAAGTTAACCAGAGTTAATGAAGGATTAACTTGGTACAGATCAGAGACACACCTAAGTATAACCTACCCTGTTACACTCGCTAGCCTTCAGTGAATAAGTGAACATTGTTTTTACGCCGCTCTTAGCAACAGTCCAGCAGAATGGGTTCCCACTTTGTACCCATGTGGGTAAGCGAGCCCCAACCTTCTGTGTGGCGATGGGCGTCTGTTCTGGCGATGGGCGCTTTTGCCACTAGGCATGTGTAGCGCCCGTTTTTATGAATTAATATGACAACAATGTTTTACTGGACAAAGCTTCAATTGTATTTTCCCCACAGTATTTGTAAATTGTTAAAGAACTATGGGTTCAAAATTACGTGTAAATGTCCCCGTATAACCGGCATACATCCCCAGTTACGTACAGTCATTAATTTATTTCATTCGTAAATGAACCAGTAAATGAAATTAATTAACTTTAACGAGGACGTCAACTGGAGGATGATGACTAGGGTTCTGCGCCTAAGGGTTCTGAAGGCCTGGGCAAAACTGGTCCACCGAAGCAAATTGACGAGCTAACGTTGGCCAATCAAAGGAAACTTCTGTCATTTTTTGGTCAACGCGCGGTCACCAGGTTCCTCATTTGTTCGACATCTCAGGGCCGTGGCCGATACGAAATATCTGACTTCTGGGAAACTGACACAACAACTTATAAAATGCAACGAAATTTGTAACTGTCCGTAATTACAGTTTCGTGTAGTGAACAGGGAACTCACTTCTAAAATATGTGGAAAAAATGTTTGTTCTTATCAACGGATCTTTCAACATTCAGAACTCCTTGAAATACGATCAAAGATTTTCTTTTTCATCCACCGTTCCAAAGACTTTGGGCGAAAAATGTTCCAACACCAATGTTTACCCCAAACGGTAATTTGAATTCACAGCTCCTGCCGCTGTTTGTGATGGACGTCCTGGGAAATATACCTGGAATTCCTGGCTTGTTTCTCGCCTGCATGTTCAGTGGAGCACTTAGGTAAGACACGCATTAATACAGTCATGATGTTCAGTGCAGCACTTAGGTAAGACACGCATTAATACAGTCATGATGTTCAGTGGAGCACTTAGGTAAGACACGCAGTAATACAGTCATGATGTTCAGTGCAGCACTTAGGTAAGACACGCATTAATACAGTCATGATGTTCAGTGGAGCACTTAGGTAAGACACGCAGTAATACAGTCATGATGTTCAGTGGAGCACTTAGGTAAGACACGCAGTAATACAGTCATGATGTTCAGTGGTGCACTTAGGTAAGACAAGCATTAATACAGTCATGATGTTCAGTGGAGCACTTAGGTAAGACACGCAGTAATACAGTCGTGATGTTCAGTGGTGCACTTAGGTAAGACACGCAGTAATACAGTCATGATGTTCAGTAGTGCATGATGTTCAGTGGTGCACTTAGGTAAGACACGCATTAATACAGTCATGATGTTCAGTAGTGCACTTAGGTAAGACACGCATTAATACAGTCATGATGTTCAGTGGAGCACTTAGGTAAGGCACGCAGTAATACAGTCGATAGCGTAAATCGATGCTCATGATATCAATCACTGATCCAAACTGGTTTATTTACAACCGCTGTCATATACCTGGAATATTGCTGAGTGCGGCGGTAACCAAACAACAAACTACTACTACTACTACTACTACTACTTACTTCTACTTATTGTACTACTAGTACTACTACGCCGTGATATGAGCGAAATATTCTCAAGCGCGACGTAACACCCAGTTTCACCCAACCAGTACTACTACCAATCTACCAACACTGTACAGGCTCATTCGTTCCATGTCGAAACAGTTTACTCGCACCTGTGTACTTCCATCACCATCTCGAGGGGCGTTTTCGCGTCATGTTTCCCCATGTATTATGTATTTTGTGATGAACTGCTGTATTTATCTGAAAATATGATATTTCTCTCGAACTGAAAAATACTCGGACTGAGTCAGCGGCATTAAGGTCTTCAGAGTAAGATCACTCAGACCACTCAGACCATGGATGACAAAAAAAACAACACTTATTTATTCATGTCATATGTGTATCTCATCTCGTGGCATGGCAAATTTACATGACATTTCGTCATGTCACTACTGAGATAAACATGATATTTGACAAGAAAACACAACTCTTTTTCTTATTCGGGGTCAATGAATCCCCGACGTGACCCCCAGACGCCGGATAGCGACATCAGCTAGGGTGATCGCAACCCCCCGCTTTAACACTGACTTACGACAGGCGTGCTGCAAGGATCTCTTTGTGGAACCCCGGTGTTTAATAAAACGCGAGGTTCACACTTCAAGAGAGGCCCATGGCCCGACCACATGTTTTCTGTTATCCACGACCACAGTGTGATAACCCAGGCTTAAATGTGATACTATATTCCTAAGCGTTCATCTAATAGCTGAAAAATATCCCACTGATGCAGCTACATATAATCTGTAAATGTTATAAGCTGAAAGATAAGGTGTTTTTAAACATTGAACTTGCTCGACGAAGTATGTTGAAAGCTGCGGGGATCTCTGTCGCCATCACTCTTCTTATCCGATAACGCCTCACACTATTTGATATATCTTGTAAGGATTCTTACTCAACCCTTTAGTTGGTCGGGTCGAACAAAATACGCATACTTTATTTTTTTCTTTATTTTTCTTTTCTTTCTAATGCTATCTGGAAAATATACTACACAAAGAAGTTGAGGATCACCCGTCTTTGATATTTTAGTGTACTTCAGCGTCTATGGTATTTCAGGTTAAGGTATGTTGAATGTGGAAAGTGTTTCGCTTCTATTTTCACGAGGCTGGTGTCGAGCCCTGCATGTGCTTTTGTTGTATATCTGTACCTGCATCGGTATATTTTCTGATCAATCACAAATAGAGAGTTAAACATATGCAAATCATTCACTTGTCATTTTTGAATGCTTTGGACTTTGATCGGTCGAATTCGTAAACCAAAAATTTAAAATGTCGCTTAACCACGTGACTTGTTCCACAGCACCATCTCCTCAGGCCTCAACTCCATCTCAGCCGTCATCCTGACCGACATCGTCAGGAAGTACTGCTGTACCAGGATCAGTGAAAAGAAGGCTACAATCATCTCCAAGATTCTCGGTCAGTCCTACATACAGTTTACAATTTACATTGACTTATATGTACACAACTAATGCAATCTTTTTCAACGTAATACAGATAGTATAGAAAATAGTGTAGTATAGGCAATAGTCTGGTATAGGCAATAGTCTGGTATAGGCAATAGTGTAGTATAGACAATAGTGTAGTATAGGCAATAGTCTGGTATATGCAATAGTCTGGTATAGACAATGGTCTGGTATAGACAATAGTGTAGTATAGACAATAGTGTAGTATAGACAATAGTCTGGTATAGGCAATAGTCTGGTATACACAATGGTCTGGTATAGACAAAAGTCTGGTATAGACAATGGTCTGGTATAGACAATAGTGTAGTATAGACAATAGTGTAGTATAGACATCGGTGTAGTATAGACTATAGTCTAGTATAGACAATAGTTTGGTATAGACAATAGTCTGGTATAGACAATGGTCTGGTATAGACAATGGTCTGGTATAGACAATAGTGTAGTATAGACAATAGTGTAGTATAGACAATAATCTGGTATAGACAATAGTGTAGTATAGACATCGGTGTAGTATAGACTATAGTCTAGTATAGACAATAGTTTGGTATAGACAACAGTCTGGTATAGACAATGGTCTGGTATAGACAATAGTGTAGTATAGACAATAGTCTGGTATAGACAATAGTGTAGTATAGACAATAGTCTGGTATAGACAATAGTGTAGTATAGACAATAATCTGGTATAGACAATAGTGTAGTATAGACAATAGTGTAGTATAGACAACAGTCTGGTATAGACAATGGTCTGGTATAGACAATAGTGAAGTATAGACATTAGTGTAGTATAGACAATAGTGTAGTATAGACAATAGTCTGGTATAGGCAATAGTCCGGTATAGACAAAAGTGTAGTATAGACAACAGTCTGGCATAGGCAATAGTCTGGTATAGACAATAGTCCGGTATAGACAATAGTGTAGTATAGACAATAGTGTAGTATAGACATCGGTGTAGTATAGACTATAGTCTAGTATAGACAATGGTTTGGTATAGACAATAGTCTGGTTTAGACAATGGTCTGGTATAGACAATGGTCTGGTATAGACAATAGTGTAGTATAGACAATAGTGTAGTATAGACAATAATCTGGTATAGACAATAGTGTAGTATAGACATTGGTGTAGTATAGACTATAGTCTAGTATAGACAATAGTTTGGTATAGACAACAGTCTGGTATAGACAATGGTCTGGTATAGACAATAGTGTAGTATAGAGAATAGTCTGGTATAGACAATAGCGTAGTAGAGACAATAGTCTGGTATAGACAATAGTGTAGTATAGACAATAATCTGGTATAGACAATAGTGTAGTATAGACAACAGTCTGGTATAGACAATGGTCTGGTATAGACAATAGTGAAGTATAGACATTAGTGAAGTATAGACAATAGTGTAGTATAGACAATAGTCTGGTATAGGCAATAGTCCGGTATAGACAAAAGTGTAGTATAGACAATAGTCTGGTATAGGCAATAGTCTGATATAGACAATAGTCCGGTATAGACAATAGTGTAGTATAGACAATAGTGTAGTATAGACATCGGTGTAGTATAGACTATAGTCTAGTATAGACAATGGTTTGGTATAGACAATAGTCTGGTATAGACAATGGTCTGGTATAGACAATGGTCTGGTATAGACAATAGTGTAGTATAGACAATAGTGTAGTATAGACAATAATCTGGTATAGACAATAGTGTAGTATAGACATCGGTGTAGTATAGACTATAGTCTAGTATAGACAATAGTTTGGTATAGACAACAGTCTGGTATAGACAATGGTCTGGTATAGACAATAGTGTAGTATAGACAATAGTCTGGTATAGACAATAGTGTAGTATAGACAATAGTCTGGTATAGACAATAGTGTAGTATAGACAATAATCTGGTATAGACAATAGTGAAGTATAGACATTAGTGTAGTATAGACAATAGTGTAGTATAGACAATAGTCTGGTATAGGCAATAGTCCGGTATAGACAAAAGTGTAGTATAGACAATAGTCTGGTATAGGCAATAGTCTGGTATAGACAATAGTCTGGTATAGACAATAGTGTAGTATAGACAATAGTGTGGTATAGACAATAGTCTGGTATAGACAATAGTGTAGTATAGACAATAGTCCGGTATAGACAATAGTGTAGTATAGGCAATGGTTTAGTATAGACAATAGTCTGGTATAGGCAATAGCCCGGTATAGACAATAGTCTGGTATAGGCAATAGTCCGGTTTAGACAATGGTCTGGTATAGGCAATGGTCTGGTATAGACAATGGTCTGGTATAGACAATAGTCCGGTATAGGCAATAGCCTGGTATAGACAATGGTCTGGTATAGACAATAGTGTAGTATAGACAATAGTGTAGTATAGACAATAGTCTGGTATAGGCAATCGTCTGGTATAGACAATGGTCTGGTATAGACAAAAGTCTGGTATAGACAATGGTCTGGTATAGACAATAGTGTAGTATAGACAATAGTGTAGTATAGACATCGGTGTAGTATAGACTATAGTCTAGTATAGACAATAGTTTGGTATAGACAATAGTCTGGTATAGACAATGGTCTGGTATAGACAATAGTGTAGTATAGACAATAGTGTAGTATAGACAATAGTGTAGTATAGACAATAATCTGGTATAGACAATAGTGCAGTATAGACAATAGTTTGGTATAGACAATAGTCTAGTATAGACAACAGTTTGGTATAGACAATAGTCTGGTATAGACAATGGTCTGGTATAGACAATAGTGTAGTATAGACAATAGTCTGGTATAGACAATAGTGTAGTATAGGCAATGGTTTAGTATAGACAATAGTCTGGTATAGGCAATAGCCCGGTATAGACAATAGTCTGGTATAGGCAATAATCTGGTTTAGACAATAGTCTGCTATAGGCAATAGTCTGGTATAGACAATGGTCTGGTATAGACAATAGTCCGGTATAGGCAATAGTCTGGTATAGACAATGGTCTGGTATAGACAATAGTGTAGTATAGACAATAGTGTAGTATAGACAATAGTCTGGTATAGGCAATAGTCTGGTATAGACAATGGTCTGGTATAGACATCGGTGTAGTATAGACAATGGTCTGGTATAGACAATGGTCTGGTATAGACAATAGTGTAGTATAGACAATAGTGTAGTATAGACAATAGTGTAGTATAGACAATAATCTGGTATAGACAATAGTTTGGTATAGACAATAGTCTAGTATAGACAATAGTTTGGTATAGACAATAGTCTGGTATAGACAATAGTGTAGTATAGACAATAGTCTGGTATAGACAATAGTGTAGTATTGACAATAATCTGGTATAGACAATAGTGTAGTATAGACAATAGTCTGGTATAGACAATAGTGTAGTATAGACAATAATCTGGTATAGACAATAGTGTAGTATAGACAATAGTCTGGTATAGACAATGGTCTGGTATAGACAATAGTGTAGTATAGACAATAGTGTAGTATAGACAATAGTCTGGTATAGGCAATAGTCTGGTATAGACAATGGTCTGGTATAGACATCGGTGTAGTATAGACAATGGTCTGGTATAGACAATGGTCTGGTATAGACAATAGTGTAGTATAGACAATAGTGTAGTATAGACAATAGTGTAGTATAGACAATAATCTGGTATAGACAATAGTTTGGTATAGACAATAGTCTAGTATAGACAATAGTTTGGTATAGACAATAGTCTGGTATAGACAATAGTGTAGTATAGACAATAGTCTGGTATAGACAATAGTGTAGTATTGACAATAATCTGGTATAGACAATAGTGTAGTATAGACAATAGTCTGGTATAGACAATAGTGTAGTATAGACAATAATCTGGTATAGACAATAGTGTAGTATAGACAACAGTCTGGTATAGACAATGGTCTGGTATAGACAATAGTGAAGTATAGACATTAGTGTAGTATAGACAATAGTGTAGTATAGACAATAGTCTGGTATAGGCAATAGTCCGGTATAGACAATAGTGTAGTATAGACAATAGTCTGGTATAGACAATAGTTTGGTATAGACAATAGTCTGGTATAGACAATAGTGTAGTATAGACAACAGTCTGGTATAGACAATGGTCTGGTATAGACAATAGTGAAGTATAGACATTAGTGTAGTATAGACAATAGTGTAGTATAGACAATAGTCTGGTATAGGCAATAGTCCGGTAAAGACAATAGTGTAGTATAGACAATAGTCTGGTATAGACAATAGTGTAGTATAGACAATAATCTGGTATAGACAATAGTGTAGTATAGACAACAGTCTGGTATAGACAATGGTCTGGTATAGACAATAGTGAAGTATATACATTAGTGTAGTATAGACAATAGTGTAGTATAGACAATAGTCTGGTATAGGCAATAGTCCGGTATAGACAAAAGTGTAGTATAGACAATAGTCTGGTATAGGCAATAGTCTGGTATAGACAATAATCCGGTATAGACAATAGTGTAGTATAGACAATATTGTAGTATAGACAATAGTCCGGTATAGACAATAGTGTAGTATAGACAATAGTCCGGTATAGACAATAGTATAGTATAGGTTATGGTTTGGTATAGACAATAGTCTGGTATAGGCAATAGTCCGGTATAGACAAAAGTGTAGTATAGACAATAGTCTGGTATAGGCAATAGTCTGGTTTAGACAATAGTCTGGTATAGGCAATAGTCTGGTATAGACAATGGTCTGGTATAGACAATAGTCCGGTATAGGCAATAGTCTAGTATAGACAAAAGTCTAGACCAGATAATAGTCTAGACTAGACAATCGTTTCAAGTTAGTCTTTGGAATGTGAAAGAGATGCTGGTCTACAGAACGAAGGACTCTGGGCGGTTTTACACTTGTGTGAGTTCGACGAGATATGATTGGGCTCATCCATGGTAACATTGGTATGCCAATACCAATAGCTTGAACTGCACACGTGCCTGTACAGGGAGCCAATGTAAATTGATGAGCACAGGTGTTATGTGCGCGGACTTCTTTGTCCTGGACACAATCCTTGCCGCCGTGTTCTGTATCCTCTGTAGTCTGGACAACTGTTCCTGTGAGATGTTAACCAGCAGACTATTACAGTAGTTCAGTTTTGATAGGACTAGGTTTCTGACCAGCATGTGAGCGGCGTTAGTCTTGTATAGACAATTATCCGGTATTGACAATTATCCGGTATAGACAATTATCCGGTATAGACAATTATCTAGTATAGACAATTATCCGGTATAGACAATTGTCTAGTATAGACAATTATCCGGTATAGACAATTATCCGGTATAGACAATTGTCTAGTATAGACAACACTCGGACTTGTAATAGTGTTCTCATTCCATCTCTTCCAGCCCTGGTGATCGGGTTTGCTGCTATCGGTCTGACATACGTGGCCGCAATGCTTGGTGGAATTCTAGAGGTAAACACTTATATCAATGTGAAATTATGTGGGGCTGGGATGTGTAAGGTGACATTTATGCATTCTTGGGCCGTGATGAATGCACAACATCCAAACCATAAATAATCTGCTCTATTTTATAGCTCTTGATGTCTAAGAATGCAATATGAAGTATGCTATCTCGATCCAGAAATATACATGTAAAGACGGCCATATTACACCAACTATACAACATCAACTATATGACCTCGTAACGCCATGTTAGTACCTCAAAATACGGCGTTATAAAGGAGGATTTACTTGTGTGCGGGCGGTGGGGTAGCCTAGTGGGTAAAGCGTTTGTTCGTCACGCCGAAGACCCGGGTTCGATTCCCCACATGGGTACAATTAGACTAACAACTAGTCTCTGAAATGAACATATTTTACTGAAAAAAGTTCATAGTAAAAAAATATATATAATGAAAAGGAGCCCTGAGACTTTCTTCATTTTCTGAAGCTGAGGAAATCTAGACTTGCCACATTTTCTAGACTTGTGTGGGCTTTCTTGGATATATTTGCTTCAGGGTCTGTACGAGAGACTAGGGTACAATGTGTGAAGCCCATTTCTGGTGTCCCCCGCCGTGATATTGCTGGAATATTGCTAAAAGCGGCGTAAAAAACATACTCACTCACTTTGTGTGCTACCTGTTACAAGTCTGAAAGATTTGACAGTCTGTGCTTGTTTGGAAGGGGATCGGGTGTTGAACTGCTCTCGCGTGGTTTATAGATGTTATCATGTCTCAACTGCAGAAGAAATGAAGATCAACCTTTCACGTTCACTACGTATATACAGTCGAACCCCAATGTCTCGAACTCGGTTGAGACGAATTCTCGGTTGTGTCGAACTCATCTCTCGGTCCCTGCCGATTTCCTCATATTGATCATTAATTCTACCTGATGTCTCGAACTAGATGTGTCGAATTCCCGGTTGTGTCGAACTCATTTAAGGGCCCCTAAAAGCCCTAACAAGTACAAATTGTATTGGTACTTGGTCATTTCTATGCTGACAGATGTGTCGAACACTCGGATTAGTCGAACTTTTCCCTTGGTCCCGACGAGTTCGACACAGCGGGGTTTGACTGCATAAGTATTGCGTCTTGTCACAGGTGTACATCTAATATGGACACAGGTTTTCCAAGTAGAAAGTCCGCCCATTTCAGGTGTCCCCCGCCGTGATGTTGCTGGAATATTGCTAAAAGCGGCGTAAAACCAAACTCAGTCAGTCAGTCAGTTAGAAAGTCCGCAAACCAATGGGTCTTTAGAGACCTCATGTCTTATTTATGTTTTATTTTGTTAGATAATTATTGAGTATTCATCTCATTCATTCACCCGCTCACAGTTTAAACTATTTTGTGTTGCAGGCAGCCCTGGCGTTGTATGGGATTCTGGGAGGACCCTTACTTGGGGCGTTCACTTTGGGGATGCTCTTCCCATGGGCCAATCAGATCGTGAGTCCACACACATGATAAAACATGAAACTACTATCTAAATACACTTTAAACGTCAGTGTATATTTCGTGAATTAATGAACTTTTTGTTACACAAGATAATTATTGCGATCAGCTTTAATCTGAGTTGAAATCTCCGATGTTGCTTTGCCATAATTAAGACTGATTGACTGACTGAGTTTAGTTTTACGCCGATTTTAGCAATATTCCAGCAATATCACGGCGGGGGACACCAGAAATGGGCTTAACACATTGTGCCCATGTGGGGAATCGAACCCGGGTCTTCGGCGTGACGAGCCAACGCTTTAACCACTAGGCTACCCCACCGCCCCACCATAATTTAGAAGTACGGCCAGAAGAAAGAAATAACAATAATGTTGATGTAACATTTATAACTTACCCTCTCAACAGATACGGCAGTCCCCCAGACCAAAAGGGATTGGCAGCCCCAATGTGTCTCGTGTCGTAGATTGCCGATCCGATCTAAATGTGACAATCATGTCTGCTAATTCGCAGATTATACGTTTATATTGTATCTGCCAAAGCCAAGACAGATTATGTATAGTCGTTTATGAAGATGTCTGGTATAATGAACCTAGAGTGGAGTATCCCGATAATGGAAGGAGTGAGTGAGTGTGTTTAGTTTTACGCCGCACTCAGCAATATTCCAGCTATATGGCGGCAGTCTGTAAATAATCGAGTCGGGACCAGACAATCCAGTGATCAACAGAATGAGGATCGATCTGCGCAATTGGGAACCGATTACATGTGTCAACCATGCCAGCGAGCATTTAGTCGTTTGTCGCCTCTTACGACAAGCATGGGTTACTGAAGATCAATATTCTAACCCAGACTTTCACGGGTAGATAATGGAAGGAAATGCAAACTGGTGCCATTTCAATGGTGCCACAGCTTTCATGATAAACTGTATTTGGGGGCAATTACATATACTGAACAGAAAAAGAAACGCAAGTTTCGAAAAAAATGAAATCTCATAAAAGTAAGCGTTCATGTTTATGTCTTCTATTTTAAAAAATGACAAAAAGCCAGAGTTGCGTTTCTTTTGCTGTTCAGTATAGTATGCCTTTTGCACAGGATGCCTGTATAGCTGTATGAACACCATGTAGGATGTTTGTGGTATAGAAAGGGTCATTAAGTATTTTTTGATCGGAGGTACAAATAATGTGGCACAAAGTAGGTATCCTTGCAGGACTTGAAAGAAGACATGGCGCTCACACCATCGACCATTGGTTTGTGAGGGCCAGGACAGACCTTTGACGGTGTATTGACACCTCACCCACTCTGTTTCTCCGTCAGGGCGCCGTTGCTGGGATCATCACAAGTCTTGTGCTAATGTTCTGGATCAGCGTGGGCTACCAGGTCTACAAACCTGTAGTAGCAACTTTGGCTCCGATCAGCATGGTGGACTGCAACTTTAACATCACTGGTGTTGCAGCGACAGCAACAACAACTATGACGACATTGACAGGAAATGCATCGTCGGTCTTTTCCAACGTTACTGCAGAGCCTGAGAGGTAATATCTAAGTCGCAACACAGGTGCGACAAATATTTCAAGGAAGTTATTGAATCCAAGATATATAAGCACTGTATAGAATATTTTCGATATATTATTATAGTGTGTGTGTGTGTGTGTGTGTGTGTGTGTGTGTGTGTGTGTGTGTGTGTGTGTGTGTGTGTGTGTGTGTGTTTAATTGTGTATATGTACATGTGTACTAGTTTACCGCAGTTTGAATTAAATTGAATCCCATCAGACAGATTACAGTGACTCCGACCCGATCAGTCCTTGTTCTATTCCGTTAATGCAGACCACCAATAGGGTAACAACAAGTCCCATCCTATAAGGTATTTTGGTATGAAACGGCCGTTCTCCTTCTACAAGACCACCGTTGCACAGTTGCAACCCCAGAGCTCGGGGCTTTCATAATTCCTTCAAATAATTCCAAGTTACCCGTTGTTGCCTATCTGAATAATAAAGTTTGACTTTTATTCAAAACCTGTGTAAGACATCAACCCATAAAAGATACGACAGGACAAAGAAATACAACTGAGCGCTTTTCCTATGTTACTTCTGCTGACATACTGACATAAAACTTGAAATACACTGTGGTCTTAAAAGTGCTGACTGCCTAGTGTCATGTCATTACAAAACTGAGCCGTAATTGTAAGGTCTTCAATTCCCATTACAGCAACCCCCTGCTGGGACTGTATACGTTGTCGTACATGTGGTATACAGCCACTGCCGTCGCCACTGTCGTCATAGTTGGGCTCATTGTCAGCTTCATAACAGGTAAGAGGTATAATCGTCCTCTCACTGTATATAAATGCTTCATGAATAAGAAAATGCATTTCATTTAGCACTGTTGCTAAATGCTTTGGTATCACATGTCACTGAAAACCCGCAGGTGTTGTCGGAATGTAGTAGCAATATAAAAGCTTAAATGAAAAAATGAGTCGTGTGCTCAATACAGATTACCGGGACGAAAAAAGAAAACGGTTCATTTTATCCGTCAGGGTGCCGTTGTACAAAACTACCTTTTAAGTCTATGAACCTTAGCGTTAAGACTACCTTAGCGCTTTCAAGACTACCTTAAGTCTAGTCTATGTTAAGGTATGGGATTTACGGTCACCTTAGCGCTAAGACTACCTTAAGTCTATGTTAAGATATGGGAGTTACGGTCACATAAGCGCTAAGACTACCTGAAGTCTGTGTAAAGGTATGGGAGTTACGGTCACCTTAGCGCTAAGACTACCTGAAGTCTTTGTTAAGATATGGGAGTTACGGTCACCTTAGCGTTAAGACTACCTTAAGTCTAAGTCTTTGTTAAGACCTATGTTAAGGAGGGCGCTAAGACTTTACGGTCACCTTAGCGCTAAGACTACCTGAAGTCTATGTTAAGGTATGGGATTTACGGTCACCTTAGCGCTAAGACTACCTTAAGTCTATGTTAAGGTATGGGAGTTACGGTCACATTAGCGCTAAGACTACCTTAAGTCTATGTTAAGGTATGGGAGTTACGGTCACCTTAGCGCTAAGACTACCTTAAGTCTATGTTAAGGTATCGGATTTACGGTCACCTTAGCGCTAAGGCTACCTTAAGTCTAAGTTAACGTATGGGAGTTACGGTCACCTTAGCGCTAAGACTACCTTAAGTCTAAGTTAAGGTATGGGATTTACGGTCACCTTAGCGCTTTGTACAACGGCACCCAGTTCGTCATATACGTGTTCGCTATAAACGTGTATATGACTAACTATTATGACTATGACTAACCATCCGAGGTTCGATGCATTCAGTCGTTTCTGCTTCTGATAATTCACAAAAAATAAAGCAGTATTTTTTAAAATATTATATTATCTCGTGTACGTGGTGAAGTCATTTCGCAACATCTATACATCTTGCAATGTGGAAACAGATAGATGTTATCTCCTTGCACATGTTAATGTCTCTTAAACCTGATGGGATACCAAAATAACACTAACCAATCTGATGAGGTCATTCTCACCTGATGCTCCATTCAGGTAGGCGTCGTCCTGGTAGGAAGGCTATGAGGGAGTTAGATGCATTAATATACACCATGTGGTCAGGATCATGCAGGGAGAAGATTAAATTTCGGGGAACAAATGATTAATTTGCTTTGGCCTGGACTATTTTATGCCTGAACACAAACGAAGTGTATGGATTAGTCATCATGCACTGTTTGTCCTTGAGTCTGCAGTTTTAGACACATTTACTGCATACATAAATTTCACGAGTGTCATTCAGATTGACATATGTCACTAAGTTCCTGGGACGAGGTTGTGTGTTCAGTCAGAACACGTCGGGTGGCTGGTTGGTAGCACACCAGCGTGTTAGTAGTTGATATATTACCTCTGAGAACACATGTACATTTCCCCTCGATATTTGAGAGGTGCCCGGCGGGTCACCAGAAGTTGATATATGCTGTTGTAGTGAAAACCACTAGGGAACTGAGAAACCAAAGGACCATGATTTGATTTTCCTGTAGCTTTGAGAAACGCATGTACGCAAGAACCTCTGGGTCACCAATGCGTTGACGAATGAATGTCAGGAGAAAGTTGTGTTGCAGTTTGTGGCAATGACTCAGAACACGTTGTTGTTTAAACATAAATATAACATTGTTATGTTGCATTCCATAGCAATGAGCTGCTGATCTTTGGAATTAAAAACAATGGCCCTTGGATCTGTTGGATTTCGTAACAATGCATCGTTGATCTGTTGCATTTCATAACAATGCATCGTTGATCTGTTGCATTTCATAACAATGCATCGTTGATCTGTTGCATTTCACAATAATGCATCGTTGATCTGTTGCATTTCCTAACAATGCATCGTTGATCTGTTGCATTTCACAATAATGCATCGTTGATCTGTTTCATTTCATAACAATGCATCGTTGATCTGTTGCATTTCATAACAATCATTTCTAGAATTTTGATGCTAATGCGTTTCAGTTAGTACCAATATCATATTGATTCACAGGTAATGACAAAGCTTCATTGATGTGTTGAGCTTCCAAGTATATCCCGAACCCCGCACACCGTACTGCCGAGATGACGTCGATGTGATCTCTTGCCTATAACTTAATACACACATTTCTCACAACTTGACCACACCCGAAGCGTTAACAGCAATATGACAAGATAGATACTTACATGCTCCCACGAGCCTGTAGTTTTGTGAATAATGTGTGTATTTACCTCTCTCTCTCTCTCAGGAGCAACGAAACCTGAAACTCTAGATCCACGGTTGATGAGCCCATTCTTCGATATAGTGTTCCCATACCTCCCTGAGAAGATCCTCAAACCGCTTAGATTTGGAGTCAGATATGAGAAAATGGTAAGTTGGGCTGCTCTCTTAAATACTTGTTTTAGGAATACGCCAATCCATATTTAGATTATATAAGATTTCTATAATTCTTTTTCCCAGTGTGCCTTAAGTTAGATATAATCGACAAGCGACAAACCCTTTCCATGGTTATAAAAACAATATGTTAAATGCAAACACCAGTTTCAAAATGAAGGTATACATTAAAAATGCGATTTCGCCCAGAAAGGACTCAACAGAACGAAACTGGGTTGCCTTTTGCCTTAATATGTTGCCAACTGCATGCAAAATCTCGTTCAGAGTGACCTCTGTATTCCTCATGTATGTTATATTCACCGAAAGCCAAGTCTTAATCTGCATGTCTGTAATAAATTTTTATTTACACTACGTCAGGCCTTAATCCTCAGGGGCCGGTGAGGTAGTCTAATGGTTAAAGCGATCGCTCATCACGGGGGTTCGATTCCCCGCATGGGTACAATGTGTGAAGCCCATGTGTCTCCCAACGTAATAATGCTGGAATACTGGTAAAAGCGGCGTAAAACCATATTCACTCACTCACTTAACCCTCTTGACTGTAATACTGACCGGAAGCCTGGTCTTAATCTTCATGTCTGTCTGTAATGTTCACCAGAAGTCAGATCATATTCCTCATATTAAGTTCCAGGGAGCGAGAGACACTACAAGACGAGCGTCCACGAGATCGGAGGTGAACCCCCATCTACAGAGCGAGAAGGAGAAGGAGGCTGGGGTGGTGGGCGGGGCAGTAAATGGTGTGGATGCAGAAAAGGGTGTGTCGAATCCCGGCGCAAGTACCAACGTCGGAGACGAGGGTGGGGCCTCCGTGTCTACCAGACTTTGATGCTGATGCTGTGGATTAAATGAGTGTTTACACAGGCGAACGTTCAGGTGCCCACAATACGTTGTAGAACTATTTGAACTGGCGAGTAATAGATATCAACAGCCTACCGAAGTATCCTAGACGGTGAAATTGAATGTTTTAAAGAACAATCTCCCCTACTATAGAACTATTCAGGACTTAATATGTGAAGAAATGAAATACTTTGATATAGGATGTGAGAAACTGTGTTACCAAGGTGACAGTGAATAAGGAATACCCCCAAACTCTAATACAAAGATGAAAATTTTAATTAGAGGAGGGATATGTAGTTTTACCCTTTGATTCTGACGTAGTAGTTCAGAGGTCGACATTCTGGCGACCTTGAAAGCGCACAAACAGTTCAGGTACATAGACATAGCTATATATGGCTTAGCTCACAGCTTCTGCTTGACTACATCCTTCGTGTTAATTGGTCAAGGGTCCACCTGCCAAAAGCTTTCGACGATCGTATCCCAGGCGTGTCAAGATCTAAAGTCATATTTCATAAACTTGTCCACTAAGGTCTTTAACATTTAACTATAGGAATCCTTAGTTATCATTAAAATACTGACTGTCACTTTACTAATCAGCCAACGACCTATATTAAACACTTTTATTTTATGTAGAGAGAAGGATGTTTGATGGTATATACGTGTTTGTTGGTTGATCGAAGAGCTATGATTATCTATAAAACTCCGGTAGTTTAACGTATAACTGTCCTAGCACAGTTGCTTAGTGGATCGTCATCCTTGAGACCATTGGCTGAACATTGTTGGTCACTATCCTACCCAGAGTTCCATGCGGCAAGCCAGCATAGTACCTCTGCCACAGGCCAGAAAAATGTGACGATTCGTCACATCTTGCACCGTCCATTCAATATAATGTACAGATTTACTCTTTTATTTTTGACGAGTCTACACATCTAACTAAACATCTTTAATAGAATGGTTTAGTTTCACTGAGAAAATATCCAAAAACATGTAACACTATTTCGATTTGCGTAGCGATCCTTTGTTTACATAGGTTGTACGGCTCCACGTGCTGTCATCGAAGCCGACGGAGAGCAAACGATGCAGCAAGTTTGATATCCAAATATGTACTGTCATAGACCTAACTGTCTCAGTTGTGGAAGAATATATATGTAACAATGTAAAACATTATGAACAGAGCGCCAAAAAGCTTTCGTGAGTCCAGTCTCTTCTTATTATGAATATGCGCGTTTGATTACAAACAAGAGAAAAGTCCGGTCACGTGATATGCAAATTAGCCTGTGGCAGTGATGTTATGTTAAGTCATCGCTGTGCCGGAGTGTGAATATTGGTTGGATACCACGGCTGCAGTCTCTCAGCTCGGTTTATGCTTTGGGGATATCATATTACACATTACATCTCAGCTTACTATCGGGTTTTCTTCCAAGGAACCGAAATTTGTGTCTGCAATCTCCACGCTTGCATGTCAATATATGCATGCGGTCGACACATTCTGACTTCGGTTGTAGACACTGTCTCGACGTTCTTCTGGGGGTAATGTTTCCGTTGTAGCTGGGAAACACTACAACATATGTCCCCAAGCTGTAACGGCGGTGCTCGTTACTATACTATACCTAGCTGCATACCGGGGAGAGGAATCTTGTCACGAGTGCTTCCGAGCTGGTTATGTAATTAGGCACCTCTCACAACGAGTCTTAGCTCCGAGAAGAAGTTTTCATGCCATATTTGTAACGCTTTTTCTTGGCAGAGATAAGCTTTCCATTGGAATGCACAGCTGGATTGCAGATCTGTATTGAGATTGTTTGGGTGTACAAGTTAATGAAACGCAAACAATGGGTGGCACAAGTGGTCATGTTGCAAAAGGTACGGCACATTCGCTGTGCTGTGTAACGTCCTGGTCGTAAGTTCGAATTCCATGATCGCCGTGATAATGATAATTGATCATTTCTATGATCGTCTGTTGCATCAAGATGATCAAAGGGCAAGACTTGCACTACTGTGGGACTGACAGCTGTCACAATGCCCTGTTATAACTGAAATATTTTGCGGCATAAAAACAACTCACTCACTCTTGATATTCAAACGCATCTTGGCGTTATATTATTGCGAGTGTCAGTAACATAAAGCAATGTTTGAGACGCGTCATGTACATTAAGAAACATTGTCGGTTGTCGCGAGGCGGCCACTGGAAAACGCCTGAACAAAAGGTGTCAATCTTTATCCTCCTCTCCAGGTGTTGTAGTCAAAGGAGTGACTGACATCGATATATGAAAGTTTATGAAAGCATGAAAGCATTGTATGGGTTCGAACATACGAGTCACGCAAATATCATCTCAATGCTCCACCCTCAGCCCTGAATGAAGATATGTTCTATGTATCCGTCAACTATTAACTAATGTTTTACCTGTGACGATGTTCTGATTTAGCTCAGTGACTCTTTTGTATACTCCCAGGTTTTCTTGAATATTTAAATTGTATTTGTGTTTAATACGGCCTCATATGTCTTCTATTTTTGTTACGATTTTTCATTAGATTTGTTTGAGGTTCACATTCTACTCTTCCAATGTATTCTGTTCTTTCCGCAATGTATGACAATGTTCTGAATGTGTTTACTTTCTATTGAAGATTGTTGAAAGGAAATTTGAGATGTGACTTTCTCTTATACCCCATCACGCATACAAACGACTTCAATAGATTCTGGGCGGTGGGGTAGCCTAGTGGTTAAAGCGTTGGCTTGTCACGCCGAAGACCCGGGTTCGAATCCCCACATGGGTAAAATGTGTGAAGCCCATTTCTGGTGTCCCCCGCCGTGATGTTGCTGGAATATTGCTAAAAGCGGCGTAAAACCAAACTCAGTCAGTCCGTCAGTCAGTCAGTCAATAGATTCTTGTCCGATTTGGCAGTTTTGGGTTGTGTAGACAGATAATTGTCAAGACTTTCCCCGAATCGTCTATTTCGCCTTAACCCACCCGAAATTTCTATTATTTTTAATGTGGACGATATAAATTCGGTCAAACTGTGATTCCCAAGTTTGATCAAAACTTACAAAACCATTTTGCCTGTCTGCTAATTGTTATGGCTGGGATTAGTATACCAATTAATGTTCATAATGTGTGAAGCCCATTTCTGTCGTGATACTGCTGGAATAGTACTCACTCATTAATCCCAAGATGAAATCTTGATGTGAAGGTCATCACCTGGAGTGTCTTGCTACAATACTTTTAACACGGAAATCCATTATCATTCTAACAGTAAATGCTGTCAGTTTCATCATTAAGAGTTCATAATACCGGCCTTACCTTTGATCAGGGATACTCTACCTTATATAGTCTCCCTGCTTTGATGTACATTACAGATATTTCAGACTCCATACACATGGAAAAAAGTATCGCAACACAATTTGCTAAAAAAGTGTAGTTTTAGTCAGAGAAGCAAACATGGCAAACAATGAACTCAAGTTCTAGTGCTGATAACTGTTCGTATCACGATAACAAGTGCAGTCATTTTGAAGATTCTGGCGTTCAATCAAGAAATCACATAAGTATCAATACTGTCAATATCAGGTGTTGCCTCCACCAACTGCAATAACACCCCTGACCCTGCTCCTCATTGATTGGACCGCCTCCGTGGTGTAGTGGTTAGAGCGTCCGCCCGGAGAGCGGAAGGTCGCGGGTTCGATCCCCGACCGCGTCATACCAAAATACGTTAAAATATGGTTCTTGTTGGTCCCTGCCTGGCGCTCGGCATTAATGGGTACAACAAAGACTGGCCGGCTCGAAGTCAGTATAATGTGTCTGAGTGGGGTATTCATGCTTCACTGCCGCATGGTATTTCAGTGGGCTAGCACTATAAAACCAGCTTAAGTCTGGCGTAGTACAAGCAGCCGCACATACACATACACACACATGCACGTCGTCATATGAGCGAAATATTCTCAAGAACGACGTTAAACCCAATTTCACCTCACCTCACCTCATTGATTGTGCCAGACGTTGATTTTGATGTTGAGATTTTGGATTCATTTCTTTATGAAGGACTTATTCCAATACATCACGTTTGTGCTCTGAATGATCTCTGTATCGTATTCTACAAACCATAATGCCACAAAAATCTGTGGGATTGAGGTCTGGGCTCCTGGCGGGCCATGGTAGAGTTGCTACCGACTGTTGACGGAGGACATCACCAACGGCACCTGCATGATATAGTAATAGGGTAGGGTCTATATACCTATATGTCTTGCTTAGAAACAGGGTTAGAAAGACATTCAGGTATATAGACCCTACCCTTTTACTTGTAAAAGGATCCTTTTATATAGTAATAGGGTAGGGTCTATATACCTATATGTCTTTCTAAAGCTGTTTCTAAGCGAGACACACCCCTATGCGCCAAATGGTACTTGCTCTAAGATAATCCATTGTACATGGCAGCATTCTGCATACCAAAAACTTACCATCTTTGAGCAGTTGTCAGTTGAGATGCTTATGAAAACAGTGAAAACAATTGATTTTCTCAGTTATCAAGCTGTAAGTAATAATAATAGTTTACTGAACCTTGATTAATGACAAATGATCGCATTTAATGGTAGGATGTGCATATCTAAAATGAAAGTATGGTGTGCCTGAAGTGTCAAAATAATTACACAAACATGATTATGATATGAATGTAAATGGCTATATGGGGGTTAAAATAATAGATGTTGCGATATTTTCTTCCATAAGCATATATCAATGTATCCCCTGCTCAACTGATTCAATGTATATATGAACAGTATAACTTTCATGTTACAAATGTTTAGTCAAACATCACTGTACAGTTCTCATCGGTTTATATCAATAATGTATGAAATGTACCTGAATACAAATTTTAGTGAATAAATCCTGCATTTTGTGAGCTGTGTTGTTTTCTATGCCAACAGGACCATGGGGTAGCTTTGTGGTTAAACTTTCGCACATGGCTGCAATTTGTAAAGGTCATGTTTTGTTGTCTTCTACGGAGATGTTGCAGGAATATTGCTAAAAGCAGTGTAACACCTAACCCACTCACTCACACTCCCTGATCCCTTCTGTGATTTACAAGCCATGGTACATGTATTTGACTTTATTTTACTATACCAACACTGTTTTGTTTCTTCTGTGAACCTCTGGGTTAGAAATAGTCTCCAGTGACCCAACCTTGTCGTCGACTGATGGGATTGGGTTGTCAGGCTCGCTGACTTGGTTGACACATGTCATCGTATCCCAATTGCGTAGATCGATGCTCATGCTGTTGATCACTTGATTGTCTGGTCCAGATATGACTATTTACAAACCACTGCCATATAGCTGAAATATTGCCGAGTGCGGCATAAACCTAAACTCACTCTTCTGTAAACCAGAATACTTCCAAAGTACATGAAAGACAAAAATAACACAAAAACAAGTAATAAGCCATTTTTAAGTTTTATTTCAGAAAAATCACTTTTTGTCAAATATATGGAATGTAAGAAACCTACCTACATATTGCACAGTAACATCATGATTACAATCTACACTACCATGCACACCGACTCATCACCCACCGCTATAGTCTGTTTGTAGTGAAAATGTACCAATGAATTTCACTTTAACAAAAAAGTAAATCAAATAAAGTGAAATTAAGATTGCGAATCCTCATAATACAAACTATGATTCTTTGTTAAACAACTTTTATCCTAAGTTGAATAAAATTCTGAGATTTAAATGTTCAATTGGCAAGGTAAAATCATGAGGATTCGCACTTCTAATTTCACTTTATTTGATTTACGTTTTTGTTTAAAGTGAAATTCATCGGTACATTTTCACTGCAAACAGACTATAGATCATAATGATGATTCATCATCATCATCAAGCCTGCACTTCATAACTCTACATGCATAACTCTACTCCCAGAATCTTTCTCTAACATCACCAATACGACATGTCCTTTGAACTGTATTTCCTTGAAAAAGCAGCTGAAGCATTTCTTCCAATCCTGGGTTCCGTTCTACAAAACAATCGTAGTGCTAAGATGATCGTAACTCCCATACTTTAACATAGGCTTACGACTATCGTATGATCTCTTTGAGGAATGGGCCCAGGTGGGTAATGGATTACTGGTAGTAAGTAGGAGGAGAGTGCTTAATGTTTTAATTACTGTGTTACATTAGCCACTAATACATTCTTCTTCTCCACTTTTATTTATGTGTAATATATTTAAGAAGGAATTTAAGTCTTCTAGCAGCACTTGTTATGCTTATGCTGCATCGACCCAGCGCGTATTGGAGGTTACTGGAGTCCTACCCACGTTGGTCACCTCTTATAACAAGCATGGCTAGTTGCTGAGAACTGTATAAGCCATAATGGTTGGTAGTATTAATCGAGATATCCTAATTCTTGGACAAACAGAATAAGGAACATCAAATGACATTTTTCATAAGTCATTCAATATCGACACCATAAAACTCGGTCATTGTTGTAAATATGTCACAATATATATCAGGATTAAATTATCTTCACATTACACTGTAACAGCTGTGCACAATCCTCCTTGATATCTGTCCTTGTATACACAACATGAAACATATATTACTGTGTCTGACAGACGAACCATGACAACCCAGGACAGCCTCCAGCACTAATGCCGTGAAGATGGTGAATAAGGACTAAACGACCTGTCAGGTTCTCAGAAAACGAATACCCCTAGCTTCTGCTGTTTACTCAAAGCAAGCTTTGTCCTTGTCTGAAATGAGTTATTGTCTAACCTTTTGTAACATGACCTAACCAGACCCTCCTACACATACTAACATCAAACTTCAAAGAGTCTGTCGTACTCAGCATGCGTCTATACACTCCAACACAGCGACACTGCAGTGGGTAAATAATCATATATCACCATACACGAAACACCTAGAACATGTGCTCTTGATGTAGGCCAAATATTCCTAGTATCTATCTGAACATAAGTCGATCATCAAATGCTGAAGATTTTTTTTACCAAATCCTTGTACATATAAATTGAAAAAAGAGTTTGTGGCACAAGGAGGGCTATTTTCCCTAAACATTAGAACTTATGTTGCTAAGTAGTGAGGAGCTATGAAATATATTACTTGGAAATAGTTGGAGGAAGAGGGAGTATCACCTACAAAAAAATTCCAGTCTCATTGCAACAGAAAATATTAACAACAAGAAGACAAAGTCATTAATATCCCCAGCAATGGCAAAATACTCTTCATGATTATGTCTACGAGTTGTGATTATGTCAAATATTTAGGTGTGTATATAGAAAAGTGGAAGGAGAGTATTGAAACGTTTTTAGAGTTCAGCTCCGGAAAAGAGCACAACCACCAATTTCAGGCTAAGTCAAACTTGTTGCCATGGAAATGCCAAAAATATTTTATTCAGAATTCCAAAACTACCAAAAGGCACCAGTACACCACCAGATCTATCCATGTGCCAAGTTTGGTGAAGAAATAGTGAACGGTTTTAGAGTTCTGCTCCGGAAAAGAGCACTACCACTAATTTCAGGCTAAGTCGAACTTGTTGCCATGGAAACGCCAAAAATGTTTTATTCAGAATTCCAAAACTACCAAAAGGCACCAGTACACCACCAAACCAATCTATGTGCCAAGTTTGGTGAAAAAATATTGAACAGTTTTAGAGTTCTGCTCCGGAAAAGACAAATGTGCACGGACGGACGCACGCACGCACGCACGCACGCACGGACGGAGTCCATTTGGATACCCCCCGCAAAACGCGTTGCAGGGGATAATAAGAGAACACCTTCTAGAAGATTAAGTTAAACTGCGAGAGTACAGACACATATTTTAACTGATTTTGAGCTGAAGTATATAAGCCAACAGGAGTTATCTCTCCTCCATATCAGGACAGGAAAGACTTTAAAAGAATGAGAGTTCTGATCGGCACCATTCAAAAATCGAGGAAAACTTTGGATTTGGTATGATAGTCATTTGATATGTACACACAGATGGAAAGTATACTTTTACATCTCATCTATTCCATGTTTAGGACTTATGACAAAACAAAATAGGCAATTATAAAACAAGCTCTTCAGGAAGAATTCCTTTATATTTGAAAATGAGCAAGGTTTTGACTTCAAGCTGTTTAAAGACAATACAAAAACATTGTACAAGAGTAATTTAGGGTTACACACTTTTTCATACTTAGAAAGATTTTCAGTTGAAGTAAGATATTTCTCCTTGACACTTGTTTAAGCCATACTAATGTAAGTTTCATGTCAGAAGTCCAAAATTTGCAAGAGTAGGTGACAAAAGACAAGATGGGAGCCGTTTGAACATGTTTGATACTTCTCTACCAATATTTCAAGTGTTAAAAAACTTTTAAAATTCACATTTCCAGTGGGTAAAAAAGGTCCTTATCCTACTTCATTTACCTAAATTTAATTTAATTTATCCATATGTGTTTAATTTGTGCAAAAATCATTGTTTGTGTAAAGATACCTGTAAATGGCCAATCAGATCTACCAATTACAAAAGTAATTATACATTAATGACCCAATACATTTGACAGCTAATAAAACTGAGAAGATTCTTTCATTAAACCAGTTTCTACCCTCCTTGAAATAAATGCTTGTTATCAACAAAAAGACTTGAAGACAGAGATTTCATATTCAGACCAACGCAATCCTTCATTCACTACAACTCTGTATGTCTGTTGAAAGCTTTATCAACTTGTTTTTTCAAATCTGAATGGATTTTCTTCACCTGAAATGGAAATTGATGAAAACATTATTATACAGCACAATGATAATCACAAGTGGCAACACCATCAAACATTCTATTCATCATCACATAAAACACAAAAGTTTTGATATCCCACAAAACAAACTGTTCATTTTTATTGTTCAAATTTCTGAACAAACTGTTCACTGACAATATGCCTGTCCAGCTGAAGACTGTACTATCAGGGTTGGCAAACAAATGGTTGATGTCATGAACAACAAACACTACAATCAGGTCACAATGACACACTATTGGCCAGGTCGGTGTAAATATCTGATCCCCGGGCTACATCATTGACCTTAAAATTGTTCATTTTCACTAGAAATTCACGGTTATGTCACACCTCTAGTTGACCATCACAAGCATCATGTACTGGGTCCAGTTAGTACTGAGATGACATGCACAAGGACTTCCCCCATTAGCGGTGTAACAATACAGTGGTTTTTGTAATATTACACATATCCCTACAATATGGAAGCTATATGATTTGTATCTCAATACAGTACATTTATTTCATTAGTTCATATTACCTCCCTTTTCACAGGTGAATTACAGTGAGTGAGTAGTATTACACCGCTTTTAGCAATATTCAAGCAATATCACGGCGGAAACCAGAAATGGGCTTCACACATTGTACCCATGTTGGAAATCGAACACAGGCCTTCAGCATCACGAGCTAACGCTTTAACCACTGGGCTACCCTACCGCTCCCCTAGGTCAATTACAAGCATGGATAATTTGTTTTCAAATTTCAGATAACAAAGGAGGGAGAAAGATACAAGCTTGATGGCACTGTGCAGATTCTGCTATTTATAGCCAACCACGAATTACTACACAATTTTCATAAACTGGTTCTTCAACAGTATCTGTTAATTATCATAACTTGTAATGAAATTAATCCTATGTATCACAACACAGGAGTTGTAAATCCATGTCTCATATTGTACGCCTTGTATTGCGATACAATGCCATATCACACCACTAACCTGCATAGTCTAGTGGAAAAGCCTATGCCTAGGTTGGACGGTTCGTTCGATCCCCAGACATGTCATATCAAAGATGCTGATCCCCTACCTGATGTTCAGCATTAAGGGGATATATATAATTATCATCCAAAACTGGGTTCCACAGGAGATATTGCTTGTGTGAGATCAGATGATATCTCCTAGGAGATATCGCTTTTGACAGTAGATTTTGTACAATGCCCTGACAATGCTTTGACGTCATGAACTTGATGACGTCACAATGCTATGACATCGCTGCACTGCAAATCTAATGGCAGTACTGTGTTTAGAGATGTACATTTTTCATTGAAAACTAATGAAGAGTGATTTTTGATGATAAATAGAATCTCACCCTTTTGTCTTCTGATATCAAATATATCAACACTCGTTGATAAAAAAGTAAAAATATCCTCGACAAGCCTCGGATATTTGTTACTTTATCAACTCGTGGTGATATATGATATCAAAATACACTCGGGTGAGATTCTATATTTATAGCAGATTTGCTGGCTCTGTGTAAGCATGTTGTGAGGACCTGTGTTAAACTGTGATACGCTAACTCACTGCCTTGCACTATAAAACCCCACCAAACATCCAGGTGTCACTTCAGTCTTGACTGTGACGCCCAGTTTACACTCAGCCCTCACATAACCTTACAACAATTGTAGCAATATTATTATTATTATTATAGGATATTTATATAGCGCACATATCCAGGCAACTAGTGCTTATTAAATCTTTGTGGAACAGGTCACTGAGGACCTACTAAAACTCTGTGAGGGTTTGTTACATCATAAAACCTGTCAAAGTTAACGACAAAACCATCTATCCATCAACATATCATTACATTTTAGCATTTACAACCAATCACATGCAATAAATTTTCAATGTTTTTCTAAAAAAACTTCTTGATTAAACATTCTCAAACAAACAAATAAAACAACCTAAAGTGGCTTTCACATGGCAAACTAAAGTTTGACATGTTGTCAAACTCGAGTTTGAGAGTGAACATTCCAACAACTCGCCACCAATTTCATAAACTGTTGTTGAGTTGTTGAGTTGTCAAACTGTTGTTGAGAAATAGGATTGGTCTCTATTCTCGCCAACTTTTCCATCAAACTTTTGATGTTGTCAAACTCGTGTTGTTCAGAAACAGCCAATCGCAGTCAACGAAATTGTCACGTGACTACACTGATAGAGACATGGCGCTCAAATAACACGAAAGTTTGACATTTGTTTGACGTGTGAAAACGTGAGGTTTGACAACTTTCACAACATGCGTGAAGGCCGCTTAACAATGTCCAGTACGTACTAGCATGATTCTGCAGCTATGCCTATGATGTGAGACTATGATGACTAGAGACGTGAAGCTCTTTCCACCAGGGACTTACCTTTCTGCCATATTCATCAGCCTTCTCTTCTAATTTTCTATGTTTATCTGGATATTGCCCATCTTTGACCTCCCCTCGCAGTTCATGTTTGGACATCAGTACTTGGTCTTTCATATATTCATGTTTGCTGATTCGATGTTCAAAATGTTTCAATTCATTCTGAAACATAAAAACAACAGACATGCTCGCAGTTGAAAGACAAAGCTCATCAGTTGAGGCCAGATTGAAAACTAAACTATTAAAATACACTGGCATCTGTCAGAGTTCCGTTAACATGGACTTGTGTCAGATACCACTCCAAATGTACACCACTGATTCCTTCAAGACTGTATTTCCTGGGATATACCATAAGTTAAGATTGTGGACTTACGAATCAAATAACATCACAAATCTCTCTGCTACTGAGTGAGTTTGGTTTTATGCCGCTTTTAGCAATATTCCAGCAACTTCATGGCGAGGGACACCAGAAATGGGCTTCACACATTTGCCCATGTGGGGAATCGAACCCAGGTCTTCGGCATGACGAGTGAACGCTTTAACCACTAGGCTACCCCACCGCCCTCTCTGCAACTGCAGCTGGTTAGTTGTACTTGATACTCACAGGACAATGCATATTTCAGTACATGCTGAATATGATAAATGTGACTAGAGTTAGTCAATTACACCCTTACTTAGTCCTTATCACACAGATTCTGTCCAGAATCTAGAGTGGAAGATGCCAATAAGATTTGTCAGTAAAAGTAATTGATGCTCTTATCCAGATTAATGTTTCACAGTTTTCATACACAACTCAGGATAATTTTACTCATCTTTCACCTATCTCTCTATTTATGTATAGACATTGCAGAAGCAGCAAAATATTTTCATTGTACTTCAAATGCACAATCTGAATGTGGTCATCTTGTGTGTTAGGAAGGTGATAAGGCAATAATTTCTCAAAACTTGACAGGGTTTTTCCTTGACCGACAAAACCTGGGGTCAAAAGGAATTTAAATAATTAATCTCAAAGGTCTGTACTTGATGTTATTGTGCATTTTACTTGAGGCACTATATATTTTTCTGTACATTTGTGGTGCGACCTCAAACCATACTGTTACTGAACCAATTTACTGTCCAATATTTCAGCATGTTAAGTTATATTTCTATAAAATGAACACAAGCCCTGATGATTAAAAGAGCTGGACTAAAGCATCACCAACTTGTTGACCATTCTTATCATACCTTACCTTGAAAGATGTGAGTTCATCCTCGGACATATTGGCTTTCTTGGCCACTGCCCAGAGCTGGTAGACCCGAGGATCCTCAAACTCCAGATTCTTATTGACGGAAAAACTCTCCAGCTTTAAGTAGCCATCCTTGATCTGTTTGTGTCTCATCTTCAGGTCTTTGTTCTTCTCCTTCAGGGACATGGAGTCCAAGCCATCTGTCTTTGTACGCCCCAGAGTGTTGCCATCTATCTCTACAAGGAAGGACACAGTTAGTTATGTGTCTGTATGCAAGGTAGGGTTATAATGTTGACCAAGTGTCTGTATGCAAGGTAGGGTTATAATGTTGACCAAGTGTCTGTATGCAAGGTAGGGTTATAATGTTGACCAAGTGTCTGTATGCAAGGTAGGGTTATAATGTTGACCAAGTGTCTGTATGCAAGGTAGGGTTATAATGTTGACCAAGTGTCTGTATGCAAGGTAGGGTTATAATGTTGACCAAGTGTCTGTATGCAAGGTAGGGTTATAATGTTGACCAATTGTCTGTATGCAAGGTAGGGGTTATAATGTTGACCAAGTGTCTGTATGCAAAGGAGTAGGGTTATAGGACACCAGTTAATCATATTTCTATTCAGGTAGGGTTATAATGTTGACCATGTGTCTGTATGCAGGGGAGGGACACATAAATTTATATCATATGTACCATTATCAAACAAACGGAAATAACAAAAAATATTGTGAGTTGTGAAATGGTCACTCAGAGCCAGAGACTCTACTGTAAGTCAAATAAAAAAAACTGGTCCATTTGAGGCAAATGGTCCTCAATTCCTCCAAATGAAACCATTCAAAATCACAAAACATAAAGCATTTGGTAGAATATTTGGTATTTCTGGGGCCACTTGTAATGACACTTCCACTTGTTAAATTATACATTAAACCAACAGAAATAAAGGTGTATTTGGCACTTTTAGAGCACATTGTTTTTGCCATGGAAATCAAGGGCAGATAATTCAAGGGAAGCTAACAGTGGATGACCCAATATATTGCAGAATCTGAACCATATCGCGATAATCGTATCGCCAGATACAGTACGTGTAACAGGCCAAAGTATACCCCTGTCCCAGACTATACCCAGGGTTAAACTGGGCTAGCCCTAGACTATACCCCAGGTATAATCTGGGCTAGCCTAGTTTATACCCTGGGGTATATTCTGGACTAGGCCATAGCATACCACCACCACCCACCCTCCCCACCCCCAGCCCAGATTATACCCCTTCAGAAAAACAAGTGATTAAGGATACTACTATAATTTTATTGTACTTCTCCACACAATTAAACACTGGTTACAACATTGAAATGGTCCGGATACATTTTCCAGGTACAAAGCATCGATCAGTGTGAGTTTTCAAGCTGAAGCTGGCAGGGTATGTCAGCCATTGCATTGACTGACCAACTGCACTGTAAATGTAAATGTCACATCTTAACAGACTTGCTGTTTACATAACTTCTGCATCTGTTGCCCACACTCCATCTCGTGAAATTCCTGAATTAGTGATGTACTCATTGACATTTTGGTTCACCACTCTTTCAAATAAGAAAGTAAGATTGTTTATGGATAACAACTTCTTTATTATATATGATCTTGGTTCGGTATGGATTCTTATACCGTTGTCAAGCAAGAGTGAAGTACTACAGCACAGAATAGACTTAATTTCAAAATTTCTATTTTTTGTTCCCCTCATTTCTTAATAAATGTACTACCCCATCGTGAAATACCTTAGTTGTGCGTGCAACACAAAATAAACAAATAACTAACTACTAATCTTGATGATATATCACTGACTGACTGAGTTTAGTTTTAAAGCTTTTAGCAATATTCCAGCAATATCACGACGGGAGACACCAGAAATGGGCTTAACACATTGTGCCCATGTGGGAATCGAACCGGGTCTTGCCCGACATGAGCGAGCCAACGCTTTAACCACTAAAGCTACCCCCATCACTCCTGATGATATATCAGCATGGCTGGGTTTGCATGAAGTTCGAATATATCACATCGCAGAGAGGCACTCAACAAATACTTCATAAATTTTTGTATTATGCAGTAATGTAAATGGAATGCACCTACAAATTCCTTTAAATGACACCAAGACCATTGCCCTGAGTCACACATTCATATTGAGTGAATTGTCAACATAATTTTAGGGGGGTTTAGTTTGGGCTAGGGGTATAGTCTGGGCTGGAGGGTATAATCTGGCTCTTGGTATACTTTGGCCTGGTCTTGAGAATATACCCATAATCGGGGAACATTTGTTTTCATATAAACTGGGCTAGCCTATAAGCTCTTTACCCCGGGTATAATCTGGTGGGGGGACTATTCTAGGCTGCTACACCGGTATATACCAGTTTATCGGTAATATTGCACAGGCCTAGGAGGGACAGAGTTAATCATGTGTCTGTATGCAACTATAATGCAAAGGGAGTGAAGTGTGTTTGGGACACTTTCAAGTTATACTTTTGTTTAACTTGCTTTACAGAACTGCCTACCAAACATAACATTTTTATATTTTTCTTGGAAAAACCCTCATTCTTTCAATAAGTTCCAGAGATAGAATGCTTGTGACACTCAGACTTACACAAGCTGCATCAGAGCAGCTTGTACACAACCCAGTCATTTCACACAGACCAGTAGTTAATATTTTAAGCAATGTGTTAATACCATCAGGGTATGATGTCAAATTAATATGTTACTGAAACCAAACATCTGATCTAAGTTATGAACATGATAAATTTACAGATTTTCAGGGCACTTATTTAATATCTGAAACGTAGTAGAGTTATTACCCTGTGGTTTTGACTTACAAATCTGAGTTACAAAGCAATGAGAAAACATGTAAAACAAAGTAATTACAGAAATTTGTTCTATTTGTTGCACATTGTGACCCTGAACTTGATCTTTTCACTCTGATGTTCAGGTTCTCTCCTTCAAACAGAGAGAGACATGTGGATCACCAAAATGTTTGCCAGCAACTGCTTAACAGAGGGAAGGGGAATAACTCCTGCACATAATATAATCATATAATCAAGGGAGAGAATCACCTACCACTCAGGTCATCTCTCACTGAATTGTATTCATCTATCTTCATCTGTTGGTGCCAAAACTCCATCCTTAACTTGTCCAGCTCTTCATCTGCACAAGAATCATACATCAGATATATAGTGGACTAACTGCCCAATACAATACACAGGTCACAACTATGAGCAAAGCATGGTATGCACATTCTACCATGAGTTGTTCTACTATACACTTCCATGTTACCCAAGTGTTAACATAACATTGGGGATTGAATATGCTCTCATAAAGAAACCCCACCGCTGAAAACACAAACTTATGTGTTTCTGTAGTTTCTATTCAACATACTGAAAGATGTCATGTAAGACAAGATAAGATAATTTCTTTATTATCCCAAAGGGAATATGTTTTGCATCATATGCAGTTCTCAGTTTTTCTGTCATAAGGCAGCTACATATAACATTGCAAGTGATATTCATATTTTACACAGACTTTTTGGGAGTCATTTTGACTCACATATTTATTTTGGGAGTCATTTTTCAAATTTTCATGAACTTTTTATATATTTCTATATGTTAATCATTCTCAGTATGTAACTGTGTATGTCACACCACCAAATGAAACTACAGCATTGTTCAATTCAAACAGCCAGGATTACTGTCTCCTCTGAGTTCTTTGGAACAATCTGACCAGCTCTGTAAAGGTCAGACAATCATCGAACAATATCTTTTGCTGCTATCAAATTGATTTTATTGAACTGAATTGTGAGGGCCACCCATAAAACTTCGTCAAGCTTTCTGACACCTATTATAATACTTTGAGAGTGGATTTACAAAATTGTTAAAGCGTCAAATGCAGCAGGAATCACGCGTCATATTAAACCCTGTGATAATACTAAAACTATTGTTTAAAATAATCAGGATATAACTACATCAATTTAGTACACAAACACTGATATTGACTAGAATTTGGACAGTTGGAAGACAAGTTATTCATTGAGTTTGTTTCCGTTAATACATCTAAATTTGCTGCTCATATCTAGTACTCTCGGAACAAATGATGCAGTGTTTATGATTTTTTTGAGAGTTTTTACTTTTATTCTGAACCCTGTTTTATGTTCTAAATATATATTTTCTTCCAGTGTTTTGTCCTTTCTCTATATCTTCTCAGTTCCAGGAGAGTTTTGAATCTAAGACAGTTTACCCAAATATTTTTATTCAGTTATTCTTTCTATTTCATTATCTTAAATACTTACAGCATTTATTGTTCACTTAGCTTTTTAAAATCTTTGATAATTTCTTTGGTTTTTCCTACCAACTACAATTGTCACATTTAAAAATAAAAAATTTGATTTACACCATTCCTACAAATTTTGAAAATTCAGCTCTGTAACTATATGATATGACAGTGCCACCTCCACAGTCCAATTGTTGACTTCAACCTATAGTCACAGTCGATTCCTACCTACTACAATTGCCTTTTTCTAATCACAATCAACCTATAGTCACTACACTCTATTCCTACCACAGCGATTACAATTGTCTATGTTGACCACATTATATCCCTGTTGACCACAGGCAATCCCTACCTACTACAATTGTCTTCCTGCATGATCACATTTCAACCCCTACTCACTACAGTTAAGCCTACCGACTACAGTTATCTATGGTGATCACTTTCTATCCCTGTTGATCACATTCTATCCCTGTTGATCACATCAATCCCTACTCACTTGGCATCTATTCCTACCAACTACAGTCTAAGCCTGCTGGTTTCATTCTATCCCTTGCACATTCTACCCTACTCACTTACATCTATTCCTAGCACACATTCTATCCCTGCCTATCCTAGTCACTAATCTCTGTCTACCAACTACAGTTGTCTATGTTGATCACATTCTATCCTTGTTGATCACATTCTATCCCTGTTGATCACATTCTATCCTTTTGGATCACATTACCACCACACCTACAGTCTAAGGCTACTGTTTCACCTACATCCACCGACTAGTCTAAGCCTGCTGCCTACAATCAGCGCAGTCCTACTGAACTTCCTACTGCCTACAATCATCCACTACCACATCTGATCAGACAACAAGGCTTTCTTCCAGATCTTCTGCAGCTTCTTGTCACCTAACTCCATTGTCTTGTCAAAGTCACTCTCAGTTGGAATGTCATTGGACATCTCAGGATCCACATGCTTAAACTGCTCCAGCATTCCATAATCCTTCACAATATCTGTCGGAAAAACAAGAGCAAATGGATACTATCTAGCAGATACAATAAACCGCCAGGGTTTAATGGTTAGCAATCAAATAAACATAATTAGCATTGGAGAAGTCAACTGGACACCATTACAATATATTCAAATTTGCTTTGACTGCACAGAAAACACACTGAACTTCGGATGTCGGCAATGGAGTTATTTCCATACCCTGAGTAGTCCAGTAATTATGTAAATGAGCAAATCGTGATGGAACACGTCTGCGGTAATTATGGTAAGCAAAGCGTGACGGAACATGTCCAGTAATTATGGTAAAACAAGCGTGACAAGAACACGTCCAGTAATTATGGTAAAAAGCAAACGTGATGAACTACGTCGAGTAATTATGGTAAAGCAAATGTGACGGAACACGTCCAGTAATTATGGTAAAAACAAGCGTGATGGAACATCGTCCCGTAATTATGGTAAAGCAAAAGCGTGACGGAACATGTCCAGTAATTATGGTAAAGCAAAGTGATGGAACACGCGTCAGATATGCGTAAAGCAAATCGATGAATGAATATGTCCAATGACTATGGTAAAGCAACGTGACGGAATACGTCCAGTAATTATGGTAAAATCAAACTGACGAACATGTCTCGTAATTATGGTAAACCAGCGGATCCGCGAATATGTCTAGTAATTATGGTAAAGCAAAGCGTGGCCAGACGCCCCAGTAGTTATGGTAAAAAGTCAAACATGAAGCCCGAACATGTCCAGTAATTATGGTAGCAAACATGATTGAACCGTCCAGTAATTATGGTAAAAGCAAACATGGCCGGAACATGTCCAGTAATTATGGTAAAGCAAGCGCGGACGGAACGTCCTGATACTTATGGTAAACAAACATGACGGAAATATGTCCAGAATTATGGTAAAGCAAACTTGGATTTTGAGGATACGTCCAGTGCATTATGGTAAAAAGACAAGCGAATGTCGAGGCAAAGGTCCACGTAATTATGAGTAAAGCAAACATGACGAACATGTCCAGTAATTATGGTAAAGCAAACATGACAGAACACGTCCAGTAATTATGGTAAAGCAAACATGACGGAACACGTCGAGTAATTATGGTAAAGCAAATGTGACGGAACATGTCCAGTAATTATGGTAAAGCAAACGAAACGGAACACGTACAGTAATTATGGTAAAGCAAACATGACGGAACACGTCCAGTAATTATGGTAAAGCAAACGTGATGGAACATGTCCAGTAATTGTGGTAAAGGAAACAATCAATCAGTGAACTGTGATACTGTACTCACGGGAAGTGAACAATCATTTCATATTCAGTGGGCATTTTAAAAAACGACATGTCTTGTCTGTGATACTGCTTGAAAAACAACACTGTACTCCTGACTGTTGAACATGACAAAAACACAAAAAGAACAGACACATTCCGCAACCCCACAAAACACACATGCACACACACACGCAATCTGGAATGTTTCCAATGAAAGGTTTAGATCCGATGAACTTGGTGAACTGTCTGTCACGGGCTAGTTTCCTGTGTACTCACTCCTGAACCGGAGCCTGGTCTCCGCTTCCTTCATCCCATCCTTGTCCAGATCGTCCAGCAGGAACTTCTTCAGCTCCATCTCATACTTATCATGGACACGCAGATCTGCATACAAGTCGGCCAGACGGGGGCCAGACAGCCTCTGCAAACAACATTGACAAGTCAGTCAAAGACATAATGCTTAAGCTAGAGTGAGTGAGTGAGTTTGGTTTTACACCACTTTTAGCAATATTCTAGCAATTCCACGACGGGGTACACCAGAAATGGGCTTCACACATTGTACCCATGTGGAGAATCGAACCAGGGTCTTTGGCATGACAATCGAAAGCTTTAACCACTCAGCCATAAATAATCAGCTTTCTTGATCACTCGACAGTGAAATTTCTTCCATCACTTTACTGAAAACAGATTATAGTAAAAATATACCTATGTAATCTGAAAGGAGCTGTTTAATTCTAGTGCTAATTGACCAGTGCACCTGAGATTAAATAGAAAGTAATGTCACCTTTCTTGGATATATTTGCTTTAGGGTGTACATGTGTTTGTTAAACTAGTGCTAGCCCAATGACATCACTGCCCAGTTAAACTAGGACACCTATATCAGGCAAGATACCGAGGAAAGCCAACCAGTCCTCATTTTATCGCCACTATTCCAAGACATCTGTTACATTGTTTGTCAATATGAGGATTGAACCACCTCTCTCAATCTCCACTCATCCATCACAGCAAGAACCCGTGAAGATCCGGGATAGAATTGATCTTTAGTAACCCAAGCTTGTCGTAACCGGTGACTAAATGGTGCGGGCGGTCAGACTCGCTGGTTGGCATGTCATCATATCCTAATTGTGTAGATCAATGATTATGCTGTTGATCACTGGATTTTCTGGTCCAGAATTGATAATTTACAGATAACTGGAATATTGCTGGGTGCTGTGTTAAACATGTTAAACAATAACCAACAACCGTGACAGCAGATCTTGAACATGACGTAACAACTAACAAAGGGCAGTAACAAAGGCTGGTGACTGATAACTAGGGATTGACAAGGGCTAATGGATAGTATGAGAAATGAGTATCTGTAATTCCTGGGGACTCTCATTAATTATTTCTGGACATCCTATTGTCATCACTGACATGCTTGAAGGACTGATTTACTGACCAATAATATAAAAGAATTTACAGGGCTAGATTTAGTGCTTTGTTATGCACTGGTGCAACCCAATATTACAAAGTGCAACCTAGTTATTTGTCTAACTTGCACCAGGTGCAAGTAAATTTTTGAGTGGGTAAACTTCTGAATAAAACATCTACATAATTCAATAGCATATTTCTGATATTACATATTGCATTAAAAACAGTGCAACTGGAATTTGACTGGTGCAACTAGGTTTTTATCTTAGGTTGCACCTGGTGCAAGTGGGTTAACATCTCCTAAATCGAGCCCTGATTTAAGTCTTGACAAAGCATTGCTGATACTCTCAGTCAACTTAAAGTCATAGGGGTTTAAATACACAGTTGACGGTTGGGAACTTCTGTGTTTTAAACAAAGGGATTAACAGAGCTACAGATAACTTTTTGGGTCCTTAAGTTATGTACTCGCTTGTGTTCATCTCAATTGGGTATCCTAATTTTCCTTTGACTAAACAAATAAATTGTACCCACCTCACTCAAACTCAATTAGGTATTTTTCCATTTTCTATTACTTGTAAAAATATAATAACGTTTAAATGTTATCTAAATTTAATATTGGATCTATAATATGAGAAATGTTAAGAAAGACTGCAAGTTGCCAAGTTCATGTGTTGGAATAGAACCTCTGAATATACCTCAGTTATTTTATCGATCAGAGGTACAGATAAGCTGAGTATCTGCGTAAATTACGCAAATATTTATGTGAAAACTCAATTCCTATTAATTCTATTGCGTACAAGTACGCTTGAATTTTTGTAAATACTCAATAAATGTGATCTTACACGCGTACACACAAAAATGTCAAATCTTAATATGCGTACCGGTTGATAGATACTATAACTGAGGTATACTGAGAGGTTCTTTTTCAGGATATGAACTTGACAACTTGCAGTTTTCTTATCGCTTCTCATATTACAGATAAAATATCAATAAAAAACACTCAAATTTAAACTCTATTATATTTTTAAATTATTGGAAAATGGCAAAATACCCAATTGAGTTTGAGTGAGATGAGTACAATGTATTTGGTTACTCAAAGGAAAATTAGGATACCCAATTGAGATGAACACAAGCGAGTACATAACTCAATGACCCAAAAAGTTATCTCTAGCTCTGATCGATGCACCGGTAAGCAAGCTATGATTCGACATTTTTGTGTGTACGCATGTAAGATCAAATGTATTGAGTATTTACATAAAGTCAAACCTACTTGTACACAATAGACTTAATAAGAATTGAGTTTTCACATAAACATTTGCGGAATTTACGCAGATACTCAGCTTATCTGTACCTCTGGAAATTAACATGATTAAGTGAAAGACACCTGACATGGGAAAAATCAAGAGTAATTCTTATTACTAGATCAGTTGATATCAGTTCTGTTTTTCTTATCTGATAAACGTCAACATGTACATATTACATATACAGCTGAATTATTCATGATTCAATAGATGTCAAATGGCACATGACGTGTCCATTCCTGATACTCATGAATGTAGGATATTCTATATGTACACATCAAATAACATCGTAAACAAGATATAAATGTGCATCTTACTTCACAAGATTGTATTCATGCTATACTTTGGGAAATCCTTTTTTAAAGTATTTACATTTCAACAACAGATCCTAAACATAGACTCCAGGTTGCAATCCTAGCAAGTGAGGTGAGGTGAAATTGGGTTTAACGTCGTGCTTGAGAATATTTCGCTCATATGACGACGTGCATGCGTGTGTATGTGTGTGTGCGGCTGCTTGTACTAGCCCAGACTTAAGCTGGTTTATAGTGCAAGCCCACTGAGATACCATGCCACAGTGAAGCATGAATACCCCACTCAGACACATTATACTGACTCCGAGCCGACCAGTCCTTGTTGTACCCAGTAATACCGAGCGCCAGGCAGGGACCAACAAGTACGATATTTTAACGTCTTTTGGTATGATGCGGTCGGGGATCGAACCAGCGACCTTCCGCTCTCCAGGCGGGAAGCTCTAACCACTACACCACGGAGGCGGTACCTAGCAAGTAGATAGACATGACCAGGAGTCTGTTATTCTGCACACAATATCTTAGATTCATTTTAGCATTTATGGTTCTCTAAAGTATTAAATTAGGCCATGCCCCACTAGTTTTCTGATTGGCTGAATCTGTATAGCTATTATTGTCGACTTATTATTTTAACAATTGATGTAAAAATGACAGTGACAGATATGCAATATTTTCAACGGGTGTTTTTGGCACCAGACTGATAATGTAGGAGTGCCTTAATGAAAATAAGTGTACCTTTGGTAATACAATTAAACTTAAACAGCACAACAATTCTGTCATTTCAATTTATTGTTTAATAAATCAGACAACATCATGTAAACAGGTAACCTTGAGAGCTGGATTGAATGTTTCATGAACACTATCATGACTGCAAGAATAGTTCAGCTTCATGTGTCCTGGACCCAGAAACTATGTTAAGTATCATCCAAAACAGGATTTCCTGTTATCCGCAATGGCATTCCAAATGTCCATGTTAAGCTGTTTGACTGAAAGTGCCACACATGAAAAGAATGATTTGAATCAACTGACTTGGTCAGATTGATCACATTTTCATTTAACTGGTGAGCATTATTTTAAAAGTTTTAATTGTGCCATCAGGGCAATGAAGGGCACATCGCAAATATTTCCTCTGAGCCATTTCAATCTGCCATGGCTTGGAAATTAACAACTATTTCAATCCCTGTATGAGTTGGGGTTAATGGACATTTTGCGTAAAGATAAACATTCTACCTCCATACACATAAAGAGGACATTCAAGAACATTCTAAATTATTTGGTATCATTTGTTTTCAACAAAAATATCAATTGAAAAACTAATTGGCCATCAAACATAAATTATTACCAACTTATGTTTTTTTATATTTATGTGCACCCAAGAATTTGCTGTAAACTGTTCAGTATACCCCAAGCCCCCCTTTCCACAACGCTGTATTTACACAAGAAGCCCCTCCCCCAAGTGAATGTTAATAACGTCTAGAAGGCCGACTTGAATGAAGCTGTAACCAGTCGTCCTTCTTCTGCACCGTGAGTAATAATATGTCTTAACGAGTCATAAATATCTGTGGTATTTCTATGAACTCTTAAACATTAAACAAATTATAGTAGCTGTGTTTATGTCAGTTGTCTATTTAATGTTCTTCGGATACACATACATATTCCAGAAACACGAAATATAAAATGCCAGTTAAGTTCTGTTGTATATTCTATAAAAGATAAGAAACCAGCATGTAGAACAATCCATATCTAGGCAATGACCTGGACGATCCGACTAGGTTCCAGTTCCAATTCTTACCTTTTTGGCCTTCTCCCAAAGTTGATTAACTTTCATACTTCTGAACGGATTGTTTTCATCTTCGTGCCATTCTTTATTCAGGTTCTTTGTATATTTATTGGCACAAGTAATCGTCACAAGTGAAATCGCCAAAATTGCGAGCCGAGTTAACTGATACGTCATCTCTCCCGATTTTCTCTACAAATAATCCACGCGACTTATCAACAAAGGGAGGTCACTCCAACACAGTTTTGGCAGTAATGTTGAAAGAGGAATCGAAATAAAAACGAAGCACACCTCGTAGTAAAATCTGAAACCTTTAATTGATAAATAGAATCAGAATTGTACTCTTCTTCTCGTTTCGTTTGATAGAACAGAATAAGGATAAACGTATCAAAAATTACTCTCCATATGTTCCTTATTCCTTTAACTCTTTACACCAAATTGTACCAATTACTAATACATGTGTTTATCTGATATATTCGGATAAAATTATAAATACAAATCACACGTATTTGTTTTCACCATACTTCTGTTTTTCTGTATAACACGCAGTTGTTAACTTGTACGATAATGTATATCATATTCTGACTTAAATTTGTGTGATATGTTATATGGGAGCGGTGTTGATATAAGCTATAACAGCTAGTTCATCGATCCCTATTCGTTTATTGAATAAAAATATGCTTGAATCAATAAAAATAAACACTTTGACATATTTAGCGTCGACGCTCTGACAGTTCGATTTATTTGAATTCTATAAATCGTGTATATGAACTAAGTTGGGTAGCTTAGTGGCTAAGGCGTTCGCTCGTCATGCTGAAGACCCGGGTTCGATTCCGCACATGTGCACATTAAAGCCCATTTCTGGTGTCCCCCGCCGTGATATTGCTAAAAGCGGCGTAAAACCCAAGTCACTCAGTCATTATTGATTCGCGTATGATTAATACGAAGCACCAGCACACATCCTCGATCAGGACATCTTTTGGATCGTCCTTTTGAGATAAAGGATGTGCGAGCTCCTTGTTTTTATTTTGTCAGCTAAGTACAACAGCCTGTGAGACTAAGTGAAAGTATAGGGGCATAATGTGAACTGACATTGTGTTCTTGGTATTGGTATTGCTATTACCGTAAATAACAAAAGAGAAAAAATAAAGATAAAGTTATGTACCCTATAATGTTTTTAACTTAGTCGGGGGGGGATGTCACACGATCTGTTTAATAGCAAGTTCAAGTTCACAAAAGTCATTAATTGTTTCATCAATCTACTATTAAAAACAAAACTCATTTGTCACACAATCAATTGTACAAGGTTACTCTATGACATAAAGATATATTATTTCACGAATGACATGAGAAATGCTGAAATTGCGATAACTGTTACAGTTATATATAATTAGTTGTGAGAAAACAGCTATTTATACAGCCTTGATTCCCTTCCGCCGCGTTATATAAAAACACGATCGGCGGCAGTGAACGGGCTGGACACATCGGTGAATAGCTAATTACGTTTCATAATTAATTCTGATTCATTAATTTAACGAACGGCGGTGTAATTTTGGAAATACCGCTAAAATATGGCGATAACTGTTCGGCAGCCTGTATAGTTTTATCGATAATTTTCTGAAATATTCACATTGAATACGCCAGGAAATGCACTGCGCTTCCTGTACGGTTGTTCACTCTTAATTTTTTAAAGAAAAAAATATCAACCTGACGCTTTGTGTGTGAAACAACCTGCGCTTTGTCAAACTGCATCAGAAAGCTATTTGCAAACGTCAGGTAAACTATAGGTTACGCCCGCTTCACACATCTCCTTTCATGCGCAGTAATGTAGGGGAGGTAACTTGGTAAACATTCCTCTACACAACATTAGACCATGACGAATCTGAGCTGATTTCACAATTCCACCTGGGAACCATGGCTTTGAGGCGAATATACAAGGTACAAGTATCCACGATGGTAGCACTGTTCCCTAATGTCGATATTATGATTACTTTTAAATTATCTAGGCCAATTTCTTGATCGCTATATCATAGATCACTTCCGCATTGATAGCTTGTGTTTTTTGTGTTATGAAATCGGAGGTTTATTCACTGCGTAGACCAGCTAAAGGATATTGTAAATAAATATATACCACAGCAGATATGACCAAGTGATGAGAATACCGAGCGTACAGTAGTACATATATAAGATCTATGAACTATATATATATATATATGTATATATAATTATTATTATTATTATTACGGTTTGTCATCCATTAACATTCTGGTTGATGTAATTGAATCATGTATTAAGCTTACTATACATACAGGAGTGGCAGGACTGTGTGGAACACCCCATGGAAGGGATATCCTTCAAAATACCCTACGCAGACAACTGTAGGTGACAAAAGATATTTTTACCGTTTTATTATGTACTGAAGAACATTTTATAAACGGATGTATGACAGAATATTTGCCTTGAAGGTATTTTACCGTCATTAGTTCCACATGTTTTTCTCAGCGGTAAATGAAAGACTATATATCTCCTTCTGTTACTGCTTGTTTGAACTACACCACCATGGGACAACCATACCTCTGACGACTGGGGGCTTGGGGTAGCCTAGTGGTTAAGGCCTTGGCTCGTCACGCAAAAGACCTGGGTTCGATTCCCCACATGGGCATAATGTGTGAAACCCATTTCTGGTGTCCCCCGCCGTGATGTTGCTGGAATATTGCTAAAAGCGGCGTAAAACTAAACTCAGTCAGTCTGACGACTGCTTACCAGCCACGTTCGCTGATGACACAACTCTACCTTATTAAAAAATTAGAAATGGCTCCATTGAACAATTACCAATTTTACTTCGTGGTACCAGTAATTCTTTTGGTTTTAAATCTATCTAATACAATAGAGGTGATAACTGATGTTAAGGGAAAGTAAATAACCAAGTCGTTGATGATTTTCAATAACTTGTACACTACCCTCGATTCATGATTGAATAGCCTAGTGGTTAAAGCGTTGGCTCGTCACGCCAAAGACCCGGGTTCGATTCCCCATATGGGTACAATATGTGAAGCCCATTTCTGGTGTCCCCCGCCGTGATATTGCTGGAATATTGCTAAAAGCGGCGTAAAACCATACTCACTCACTCATATTCATGATTACTTTTAAACGAAATACAGATCAATGCCCTAAGAAAGGTAAGTAAAGACTGTGGTTTCCTTCGTCGCGTTAATCAGCGTATTTGTCGATTGTGTCCTTTTTAATCATCATCAAAAGTGGGTGCTTGCTTTCTTCTGACGGGTATTATAAACAAAATTTCCAACAAGAACCTGGAACTATAATATTTTGATTTCATATATTAGAATCAACGGTTTCGTTTTTGTTACCATTCAGAAATTGATCTGTTGCAGCGTTTTACTGGGACGCGATCATAGAGGGTCCGGTATGTATAAATGTCCAAGTATTTATCTAACATAAGATACCAGTGCAGTCTTTAAAAGAAATCATAATTCATACTTTGATTACCTCTACGTTATATAAGAACTGTTTTATTTAGATTTGTTGTTGGTTTGTTTTACACCTAAACTGTGATACTGAACATACTGTTTCACGATCCTTTGTAGACAGGCATTAAATTATAGTCAATTTGCTGCGATATTGCCAATGCAATGTAAAATATAATTCACTCACTCACTCTATTAGATTTGTTCAGTAAATATAATTTTTGCGGTGCCCAAATAGCCAAGAAACGGTATCAGTGGTTGTAGGGTTATGTGGCTGAACATGGCGCTCAGAATTATTGTTCTTATATACGGATGTACACGGGTGTATGTTAATGTGCACGCGTTTGCCACAGTTTAAACTGAATTCCATTAGACAAATTATGCTATCCGTGAAGATTGTAATTAGGGTTATAATTGGTCTTCAGCAACCCGTGCTTGTCGTAAAAGGCAATTAACGGGATCGTGTGGTCAGGCTCGCTGATTTGGTTGGCACATGTCATCGTATCTCAATTGCGTAGATTGATGCTCATGTTGTTGATCACTGGATTGTCTGGTATATAGACTCTATCATTTACAGACCGCCGGCATATAGCTGGAATATTGCTGAGTGCGGCGTTAAGCAGCAGCCAACCAGACAGATTATACTGACTCCGACCAGTCCTTGTTTTATTCCCCTAATGCCGAGCGCAAGGCTGGGTAATAACAAGCACCTTCCTTTATCACATTTAAACGGCCAGGGATCGAACCACCAATCTTCTGGGATCAAGACAAACATTCCATCCATCTTTAAACGATATAAATGGTCTGTACACACTAGGATATAATAGTCTATCAGTAAATATCGAGTCACCCATTGTTATAGACAAGTAGCGGGGCGGTGGGGTAGCCTAGCGGTTAAAGCATTCGGTCATCACGCCAACACCCGGCTTCAGTTCACCACATGGGTACACTATGTGAAGCCAATATTTGGTGTCCCCCCGCAGTGATATTGCTGGAATATTGCTAAAAACTCACCTTACTCACTCACTCTAGACAAATGGTTTAAAGACCTTTACTCCCTGGTGCTTATGAGGGTTCTGATGTAACAATAATTTCACATCGTCGTAAAGGATATATTGAGGACATAGTGTTGTTCTGCACGCAGTCATCAATATTCCTGCTACATCTGGAGCATACAAACCACTGACTGATAGCACGAGCTGCATAGTGACATTGACTCTGATTTCCTTTGCCAGGTTGGTACACCCTATGAAGGTGGGACTTTTATGTTGGACGTGGTGTTCCCCGTGGACTATCCGTTTAAACCCCCCAAGGTGAGAAACTGATTTAAATCTTCGAAGGTAATAAACTAGCGCCCCAAAGAAACGCCACCAAATATTTTTCTGGTCTAAAACAAAACAAAAGCAAATTATGGTAACATTAAATGTTTTATTGTAAAAAAGCAATCATTCAGCAACAGTATTTAATGGATAACAAGACGAAAATCGACGCAGCTCGTGATCTAATGACATTGGCGTGCACTGTCCAGTATTCGATCACCAATGCAGAATCGACTGACAGCTTTTACAACTTTCTGGGCAGCACATATTGTTCATTACCGGGTGTGGCCACCCCTAGCAGTGGCTGATTTTGGCGTTTCCGAATACGACGTCCCAGTTGGTCAAAGGTGCTCAATTTGGAACAGATCGGGCGACCTCGTCCGTCAGACTTGAAGAGGTGGAACCTGCTTTCGTCACTAAAGAGCAC